TGGAGAAGGGAGTGATTTGTCCTCATGGGAATTCATACTATTCAAATTTGCCCCCATAACATTCTGCCCATTCCACCATTCATGCACTTACAGAACACCTTATTCATCACCATTGTATCCCATACAATATCACTTCAGGCCCAATAACTAATTTTACGGCAAAAGAAACGTGGCAGAGGAAACAGGCCCAGTGCATTCACTGGTCTTACTCTGTTTCCATCACCCAGGAGTAGGTGGCCTGACAGAATGGTGGAATATGGTCTACTGGAGGCTTAATTAGGGTGTCAGCTAAACCACACCCTGTGACGTTGGGGAACTGTCCTATCAACATAGGATATGCTTTAAACCAAGCAAGGGTGGGAGGAGAGAGTAGCCCTTCAAAATACACCCAATAATCCACTAATGGAATATTTTCTGTCCCCCTTAATCTTGTGCTCCGAGGATTTGGAAGTCCTAATTCTGAAGAGAGGAGGATAATCATCTGGGAACATAGTCAGGGTTCCACTGAGTTGGAAGCAAGACTGCCACCTGACCATTTGGTGCTCCTTCCACCTCTGAACCAATTGGCAGAAAGGAAAGGGGCTACTGTATTAGATCATTGATCCTAATTCCCAAGGGAAAATGGTTGCAGCTACACAAATGATGCAGAGGGACAAGGTCTAGAACCCAGAGGATTTATGAGGTACCTCATAGTGCTCCCATGTCCGGTAGTAATTATTGTCTGAAGCTGGGTTACCTAGAAATCCTGAGACAGGGATTTGGGAACACATGGTTTATTGAGGGAGTGTCCTTCAAGAAAAGCCTCTAAGGGAAGGAAGCAGGATAGGGAAGGGGAAAGAGCTGAACATACATGTGATCTCAAACTTGCCCCGAACACAAACTATACCAGAGATTTCCTCCCTTTCAGGCAAGGGCACTACCTTTTGTACCTTGTATCACTCCTTTGGGAATGGCCAACTTTTGAAGGAAGCTGAAGGCAATTCTCTACAGAGGGAGCCGCTGTGGGCAGTTACCAGCCCATACAGCAGTGGGAATGCGTGTATCGCCTGGGAGAGGGGAACTGTGCAGGGCATACAGCATCTACTAGAAACAATGGGAAGCTGCAGCAGCCCCCCTAAAACATGTCCTCTGCTGGTAGGAATCCGTAGAAATAGATGGACACTGTAGATGTGAGGATAACGGATAAAGCAGATTTTCTGAGGAAGCCAAGGCTACAGGATTCAGAGCACGAGTAGTTTTGGCCTTGAACAAAAGGGACCCTCTATCCTCTGAAACCAGAGGGAATGAAATCTCTAAAATTAAAGGTTTAGGCAAACTGATAAGCAAAGGGTGAAAAAAATTCAAAACTCATCTAAATTTTATTGAAAGCCTACATGTCTGGCATATCTTAGGGGTTGAGATAGTAATAGCATAAGAGACAGGCCCCTGATCTAATGGAGCTTAATGTCTGGTAAACCATCAATTATAAAACAGTATAAGAACGATGGAACCAAGCAGGGATTGGTCAGGGAGGTGTTGTCTGAGACACAAAGAATTAGTTCCCTCCGCGTTAGCAGGAGGGAGCATTCTGAGCAGAGCAGACGCGATAGCCCACATGGATGCCTGGGGATGTCGGAGAAGACACCACAGGGAAGAACTGAAAAAAGTTCTGGGATTGGAGGCGGGGGATGGTGGTAGCAAAAGGTAAGGCAGAGCTATGCCTGCAAGCCAGGTATCAGCACATTGGAAACCATCAAAGGATTTTAAGAATAGGTACCCCATGACGTGTTTGGTCTTGAATGATAAATAGGGCCATGGTTCCAAAATTGAAGGAGGTAAGTAAGGCCTGATGGCCTCAATCTTCCCTATTGAAGGCAAAATCCTCTGCCCAAGGTGAAGAGTGTATGAGCACTTTGAGAAAAATTACAGAAATTACAAAGGCTTTAAACAGCTGGTGAAAGAATGGGAGGTGGGAGTAGTTGAGGGCTCAAACTGATACTAAGCCCTGGAATCTGGTGCAGCATCAATCTGCACCTGTGTGTGCTATTCACCAACAGAACTCAGCCTCCTCTGCATTCATTGAACATATATTTATTGCACCTATTTCAAGCCAGCCGCAACATCTGGGAAGATGCACATAGGCTGGATCCAGGGTTGGTAACTTGAAGAGCGGATACGGTGGTGGGATCAGAATGCACAGACCTTGAACATGCTGCATGTCAGAGCACAGGCTTTAGCATCAGTAGGAAAGGAGGAGGTCCAGGAGAAGTCAAATATACTAGAAGAAGGTAGGTGTCAAGGAAATAGAAGTCTGCAAAGCTAAAATCCAGGAGAAGAGAAATGAGGAAATTGCTGAAAAGAACCAAGTGCTGGCAAGTTTTAAGAGGTTGCATTTATGAATTTGAAGTTTTTCAGGTGGAAGGTAAAAGCAACATAGAGTTTAATACAAATCACTGAACTGAGTTTAAGGAACTTCAGGCTGGATGCAGGGCATTTTACATGACTTAGAAGTTGTGGTGGAGCCAGGAGCTCAGATTCTTAGTGAGCCTTCAAGATCACAGCAAAGAGGTCAAAATATGGCAACTCACCTTGTGTGGTACCTCCTTTCTGTACTTCCAGATGTCAGCATGACATCCTAGGAGAAATGTTTAGCTGGACACCTTTCAAAATTAAGAAGTTGGCAAGAAAATAGCTACAAATCTTACATTGTATTCTGGCAAAAAGTAAGAGGCTATTTCAACTGGTTGGTACCTAAATACAACCAGAGTTCCCTTATTTAGCCCCTAGATTGAAAATATTAATTGACATCTGTAATCTAACAGAACACTGGAGAACTAAAGACTTAGGGACAAGTATATAATTTTGTTTTGGATTTTGTTTTGGTAATTCCAGACCCAAAACATGAAGTTTAAAAACCAAATCAGTCACTTTTGCCACTCGAAAATCCTTACATAGCACTTTAATAAAATTAAATAATGAAAAAAATTTAAGCCAGCAATGTTTTCATGATCTGTTATAAGATAAAAATTACTATGAGCTATTTAAGTTTACATTTTCACCCTTCTTTTCTACAAAGCCAAAAGAATTCTGTCACCGGGCAGTCCTGGCCAACAAAGTAATGGCACGATTAGGCTATTGCTGTGCATAATCAGAGGACATTAAAGAGCATCTTTGGAACCAGAATGCTTCCTCAAGTACACAATCAATAGATAATGACTGATGTTAATGCAGTGAATCTAGCTAAGATATCTTTGGGGCTACTAATGAAACAAAATCAAATTTTAAAAATTTTGAGTAAAAGAGCACCTGGGTGGCTCAATCGGTTAAGTGTCTGCCTTTGGCTCAGGTCATAATCCCAGAGTCCCGGGACAGAGCCCCGCATCAGGCTCCTTACTCTGCTGGGAGTCTGCTTCTCCCTCTGACCCTCCCCCATCTCGTGCTCTCTCTCTCTCTCAAATAAATAAAACCTTTAAAATTTCTGAGTAAAGGGGAAGATAATTAAAAGTGCTACTTTTAGAATGGTATCATAAACTAAATAGCAAAATAAAAGAGCTTGGATTTGACAGCAGTGGTGCTTTATACTATTTCTTTGTGTTTGCCCTTCTTGGTACTTATCTCTAAAGTTAGCATACTAACTCACTATTAACTTTAAGATCACTTATTTATAAATTATCACAATTAGTAAGAATATATTAGACCTTATATATACCCATGAATAGTAATGTATACATTCATATTTATTTAAAATATTTTTCATGTATATAAGTACCTAGTATTCTATTTTTTAATTTTTTTTTTAGTTATGTGTCAGAAAGAGAGAGCACAAGCAGGGGGAGCAGCAGAGGGAGAGGGAGAAGCAGGCTCCTCACTGAGCAAGGAGCGCGACGTGGGACTCGATCCCAAGACTCTGCGATCATGACCTGAGCCGAAGGCAGACGCTTAACAACTGAGCCACCCAAGCGTCCCAGTAATTTCTATTTTTAAAACATACCAGTTTTGAATCATTAATCTCTTGGCTTTAAATCAAATAAATCGAAGATATCAGTGGTAAATAGAACTTGCTAAAACTTTTTGTATATAGAACTTGGATTGAAAACTAATGAATCCACATTTTGGTACATTCTTCCTAGTAGGCAGGTAAGTATTGCTACTCCAGCTCTTAAATTCGGCCTCCCCTTCACCAGAGCAGGGAGACTATTTCGTTTTCCTTCTCTCAAATGGAAAACAAATCTGGAGTTTTGGTGAAAATGACACTGATTTGATGGGAAGACATCATTAAAATGGCCTATTTTTCTGTAGGCCACATGTCCATATCATTGTAAAACCTCTGCTGGGACAGGAATAATCTTTGTAGCTTCCACTGCATGCAGCAAAGCACTTTCGAAGTACTAACTACTGTAATAACTCAAAGCTTGTTGCAGAAACCAACAAATAAAGGAGTAACAATATAACGGGACATACTTAGAAAAGATAAAATGCACCAGAACGAACGCTAGGCACTACGTTGCCCCTCTGTGCCTTGGCCCCTTATCTGGCCTCAGACTTTTTCCCATAAACCTAATCCTGGGCAATGACCCAGGGACAGGTTCCTCAACTCCGCCCAGGGCCGAGGAAGCTCTGCGCGCTCCTTCCCGCCGCCTTCTAGGCCGCTCTCTGCCTTTTCCTCTCAAACTTCTTTCCAGCCTGGTCCGGGGTACCAGACTCGAAGACACCCATGGACCGCCCTTCCGCAGACCTCCAGGAGAGGGATGGAAGAACCCGCCTAGGCAGCTCGGCGAGGACTGGCTCTCGCGCATGCTCCCTGACCGGACGAGAGTCACGCTGGAGCCCGCAAGAGTGGGAATCCACTTCTCCACATCTTGCAGGTGACCTGGAAAAGATAACGAAAACACTAGGTCCTCAAAGGAGGAAGGGGCCGGACGGTTACTGAGAGCTGACCGGAGGAGGGTGCTCGCAAAACCCGGAAAACTCTTCCGGAGCGGCCAACCCCGACATGCGCAGAAGCCTCCCCCGCGGCAGCGGCGGCGGCGGCGGTGTCTCCAGAGCCGGAAGGTAAACGACCTCAGCTGCCCGCGGCCCGACACCTCCTGGGTTATGTCGGCCCAGGGTGACTGCGAGTTCCTGGTGCAGCGAGCCCGGGAGCTGGTGCAGCAGGACTTATGGGCAGCCAAGGCTTGGCTGATCACAGCCCGCAGCCTCTACCCCGCCGACTTTAACATCCAGGTGAGGTCAGGCCTGTGCACGCGGCTGCCTCCGTGGAAGTGTGAGCACTTCGCCCCACCGGGACTGCCCTGGCCGCCAGCTCTTCCCCCCAAAGGCGGCCCGCCTCCAGTCCGGCCTGCCCCGCTCCCTCTCTTCCCACTTCTCGCCACCTCCCCCGCCCCGCTCTCCGACACCCCTCACACGCCCTCTCTCCCGCGAGGCGGGCACCTGGAGACACAGCGGACCCCGCTCGAGGTCCGGGTGGCTGGAGGCGTGGGGGTGTTTTGCTGCTTGGTGGCCGGGACGGCACCGCATCGCCCCTGGGAAAGGCCGTTCTCTCGCTCGCTCATCATCATGGCAGCCATTTGTTTAGTGCCTACTACTTTTGAGACAGTATTCCTCCAGTCTCGGGGACCGAAGGATTGTAAGTGAGCTCGAGGGTCGCACTCGTAAGCCCCGTGGCTCTGCGCCACCAGGTGGATGCTTTGCTATCAGGCCCTCCCGGGTTGGGGGTGCTCAGTGAAGGCCAGCTAGCGCGGCGGGCGGTGAGCGAGAACCAAGCCCCGGGCGGAGGTTGTGACCCTCGGGGCTGATCTGTGTTGCAGTATGAGATGTACACCATCGAGCGGAATGCCGAGAGGACCGCCACCGCCGGGAGACTGCTGTACGACATGTGAGTTCAACTTGCACTGCCCGGGATCTCTCGTGAGGTTTTGTCTGTGTGTGGAAGTGGGAGTTGGGGGATCTACAAGTTCATCTACATCTCTGGTATCTAAAGCTTACTTAGTCTTACGTCTGACATGCCTTCTGCAGAGAAGTCTTCTTATATTTTATTCTTGTTAAAACTTTTCTTTACAATAATTTATTTTGCTTTGGAAATAATAGTGCTCTGCAGTTCAGACAATACTGAAATATAGAGAATAACAAGTGCAAGTCCCTCCAACTCAACCAGAGTTAAGTGTTGTGTGTCTGTGTATACACAAATGTACTGTGTACATACAATACATATAAGTTGGTTTTTGTGGGGAAGGGTTACAAAAGTGAAATCATGCTACATACCTCACGCTGCAGCTTGCTTTCTTCACCCCCGGCCATGGAGGGATGCCCTTATTTTTCAGTATGTAGAGCTCTTTTTCATATTGCCATAGTATTTCATAATACTGGTGGACATTGAGGTAGTTTCCAATTATTTGAGATTATATTCAGAGTGTCAGTAAGCTATTTTGTACTCATATTTTAGTGTTTTTCTGTGGAGTAGATTCTTAAACATTGATTTTCACAGTCAAGGGTATACATGATACACTATCAAATTACTCTCCAAAAAATACTATTCCAATTTACATTTCTACTAGTAGTGTATAAGAGTGCCTGTTTTCCCACACATTTGCCAGCATTGGAAATTATCAGTCTTTCTATCATATTTTAATTTTTGCCAGTGTGAGAGAAAGTGGTATCTTACTATTTTTTAAAAATTTGTGTTCATTGTATTACTAATAAGACTGAGTATCTTTTCAAGGGTTCTCTGGCTGTATTCTTTCTGTGATTTGCCTTTGCCCACTTTTTCTTTTGGGTAGGTTTTTTTTCTTTTAGTTCTTTTTCCTTGTTGATATTTAGGAATGCTTTATATATTATGGTCACTTGTTTTTTCACTTATAAAAAACTCTAAAGACTTTTGTGATTAACTTCATTTTCCTCAGTTTTTATTTTTATATCTTTATTTTGGCTTGTTTCGGTACGTCTGCATATTCACTTATAACGGAGAAATATGTGTATTTCTCCATATGCTAATGTTCTTTTCTTTTTGTAATACTATATAGAATCTGACATTTTAATTTAATGCATTCATTTTAAAATAGGTTTGTGAATTTCCCAGATCAGCCGGTGGTGTGGAGAGAAATCAGCATTATTACATCAGCATTAAGGAACGATTCACAGGATAAACAAACCCAATTTTTAAGAAGTAAGAATGGAGTGATAACTAATGGTGTATAAATTACCACTTCTGAAATACTAAGTTATATATAGTAATTTCACAGAAAATTCAACATCTGTGGTATTGGTACCCAAATGTTTGTTTGTTCTTGACAACTGAAGTCTATTCAAATGGTGTCACTTGGTCCCTTGAGCATTTGTATAGAAACCTCTAAGCTTCCTTAAAGGGTGTAGATTTATCAGTTAGGCCAGGGAATTGAATGTAGTTTTAACAGATTTTATAGTGATCAGAAAGCATCTGTAGATTAGGCAGATCTCCACAAAACAGGAGAGAAACTTTTAGTGATTTATGACCTTTCTCATTAACCTTCATTCTGTGTTGGTTGTGATAGCCAATCAAAGATTTCAAATTCTGGATAAAAAAGTGGGTGGTTTAGGTCATTTCACCTTGAAAAAATGCATCCTCTTTATCTCAGCCAACAACAAGCACTGTTGTGACCCTTCACCTACACCATTCTTGTCTTCTGGCTCCAATAAGGCCTCCAAATGTTTTAGGGTCATTCAGCAAACATCTGTGTCCAATACCATCTGACCCAAAAGCCTTCTAGGTTGTAGGTAAAACTCAAAACAGTGATTCTAAATGTGGTATTTACTGTTCTGTACATGAAAATGCCTTATTTCCACTTTAGCTTTAGGATTTTCTTTCTGAAAGAAATTTTTTAAAGTAAAATGTGTTATGTACAGGTTTATTTGAAACTCTCCCTGGTCGGGTCCAGTGCGAAATGTTACTAAAGGTTACAGAACAATGCTTCAACACGTTGGAACGATCAGAAATGTTGCTTCTACTTTTGAGACGCTTCCCTGAAACAGTGGTGCAGCATGGGGTATGACTTGATCCTTTCCTTTTTCTCAAGAGAAAATAAAATCAATCAACACATTCATCAGTTGGGTTAGAAGCTATAATGGGAATTATTCTAAAACAGAAATTCTGAAGAACACTAGGTAAGATTGAACTTCAATCAAGGAATCTTCATCAGTAAAGCTGAAAGGATGTCACTGTCCTCAAACTTTATAAATTTCCAGAGGAAGTAAGTTTCCCGTCAGTGTAAGGAAACAGTCACCAAGCTTTGACAGTCGTATTTATTTGCAATCTGTAAAGTACAGTAAAGTTTTTTTTTTAAATCCTATTCCAGAGGTGCCTGGGTGGCACAGTTGGTTGAGCATCCAACTCTTGATTTTAGCTCAGGTTGTGATCTCAGGGTGGTGAGATTGAGCCCCACGTGAGGCTCCCGTCTCAGCATAGAATCTGCTTGAGATTCTCTCTCCCTCCCTCTCCCTCTGCGCCCACCCTCCCCCGTGTGCGCTCTCTCTTCAAATAAATAAATCTTTTAAAAAAATCCTATTACGCTGTAATCAACAATGTTTGAATTTAACTGAGAGCCATAGTCTATAGTCTTGACAGGCATGTTTTTCATGTGCTTTTCTCTCTATTCCTTTTATCTGTAATAATTATTGAGTGCTATTGGCAGGCATTGGTAAGTGTTAGGTATCTCCTTCCATACTCCCTAGACCCCTTGAGGTAGACAGTATCCCACTTTACAGATGAGGAAACTGAATCTTAAATATGTTCGTAACTTCCCATAGCTAGTAAGTGGGAGATTCAGGATTCGAATCATTAACTCTATTAATTCAAACTCTGTTGTTTATTCTTACCCACACTATCTTTCAAGCTTCTGGCCCCAGTTAACCTTTTCTATACCTCCTTCTATTAGTTTCCTAAGGCTGCTATAACAAAGTACCAGAAAACTGAGGGCTTAAAACAACCAAAATTTATTCCTTCACATTCTGAAGCTGAAAGTCCAAAAGCAAGGTGTGGGCAGAGCCATGCTCCCTCTAAAGGCTCTAGGGAAAAATCCTTCCTCCCTCTTCCTGGCTTCTGGTGGTCACCAGCAATCTTTGTCATTCTTCAGCTTGCAGCTACATCATTCCAGTTTCCAGTTTCCGCCTCTGTTGTCACATGGCTTTCTTCCCTGTGTGTCTGTGTTCCTGTGTCTTTACATAACCGTGTAAGGATTGTAGTCATTGGATTTAGGGCTTGCCCTAACCCAGTGTGCCCTCTTAATTAATTGCATCCACAAAGACCTTACTTTTTTTATAAGATAAAATATATATAAGGTCACATTCTGAAACTCTGAGTGGACATGAATTTTGGGAGGATGCTATTCAACCCAATACATTCCTTGATCATTACTCAACTATTAGCTTTCCATGTTTTATTATCTTTTCCATTGTTTTACCCCTACCCCGTGCATCACCAAGTGATCCCAAGGAAGATAATACAGATGTCTGGGTGGATTTTGATAAGCCTACTTTCTACTCTGCTAGGGAATACATGGTAGAAAGTAATGGAAAGGTGGCCTTAAAAGCCAAACAGTTGTGTCCAGCCTAGCCAAGGCTGAATGACTGGCTGCTCCTGACAACTCCTGAAAGTGGTAAGGTTTGTCATCATAATACATCTTGATGCAGAGAATACAGTTTCTACATTTTGTAGAAAATCTCTACATCTCCTTTATCATTCTGACTAGTTCCAGTGCTTCCTTTAAGTTTCTATAGACATTTTAACGTCTTAATTTTGCTAGTTCAGAGGAGGGATAACCAAGACAAAGTAGTCAGTGGTCAGGTGAATTTGGGGTTTCCTTCTGAGCTGTGTTGCTGATATATTTTGTTTTCTAGTGCTTAAAATGAGAATATTTGTTTCTTGGGGAAGTTTGCATATATAAGCTGTTTGTTAAATTTAAAAAGCCATTTCTTTATATAACTCTGACATCTTAAACTGTAACATGTTTAAATGATTAACTGTATTTTGAAACAGGTTGGCCTTGGGGAAGCATTATTAGAGGCTGAAACTATTGAAGAACAAGAATCTCCTGTTAACTGCTTTAGAAAATTATTTGGTAAGAAACATTGTATTTTGTATCATTTCAGGGATAAGGTCATTTGTGGAAAGCAAAGGAACTTTTCATATTATGAAATTTAAATCCTTGTTTATTTTTTTAGTCCAAAAAGCATTTAAACAACTTCTAGGGATGCCTAGGTGGCTCAGTCAGTTAAGCGTCTGCATTTGGCTCAGGTCATGATCCCAGGGTCCTGGGATTGAGTCCCACATCAGGCTCCTTGCTCAGCAGGCAGCCTCCTTCTCCCTCTGCCCCTGCCCCTCCCCCTACTTGTGCGCGCGCTCTCCCTCTTTCACTCGCTCTCTGGCAAATAAATAAAATCTTATATAAAAAAATAAACAACTTCGGGGCACCTGGGTGGCTCAGTCGTTGAGTGTCTGGGATCATGACCTGAGCCGAAGGCAGAGTCCTGGGATCGAGCCCCGCATCGGGCTCCCTGCTCCACAGGAGGCCTGCTTCTCCCTCTCCCACTCCCCCTGCTTGTGTTCCCTCTCTCACTGTGTCTCTCTCTGTCAAATAAATAAATAAAATCTTTAAAAAAAGATAAAAAAATAAACTTCTAAATTTTTATTACATAACATTTGATTCCTCTGAAAGAATATGTGTAATAATATATTCAAGTATGAGGCATAATAATAAACATCTGAATTGTCACCCAGTGTAAGAGCTAGACCCTTACCCGTAATGTAAAATCTGCTTATGTATTTCCTTGCTCACTCCACCCACTAGTGTCCCTTTGCACTGAAATTTTTAAATTAATGGACCATAAAGGTTTTTTCCCTATATATTTTAGATACTACAAAAAGTGAACTCTAAAATAAATTTTGTTTCTATCAGAATTGTAGGGTAGACAGACAACTTAATTGTTTTTTTCTTATTTTTCCTCTTCAACAGTTTGTGATGTCCTTCCTCTAATAATTAACAACCATGATGTCCGATTGCCTGCCAATTTATTATATAAGTACTTGAACAAAGCAGCTGAATTTTATATCAATTATGTCACTAGGTCTACTCAAATAGAGAGTCAGCATCAAGGTAAGTGAGAATATCCTGCAATTTTATTTATACAGACTTTAGTAAATTGCAAACTCAAAAATCCCTCATCGTTCTGATTATTCTCTGGATGCGTACCAAGATGGTTCCTGGAAAAAAATACCGCAGGTAAGAAATAAGACTTTTCTGGAACCAATTTTACCCTTTGAAATAGTCAGCTTGTGGAACCATAATATTAGGGTCCTGAGCTCCATACATGTACCACAGCTCAAAGGTCATTTCTTGCTATACCAGTAGCCAGTTGTGGGTCCTTCAACAAAACACATAATGTGTTGGGATTCTGTGCTCTTGCCTTTTTTATATATATATTTTTAAAGATTTTATTTATTTATTTGACAGAGAGAGACACAGCAAGAGAGGGAACACAAGCAGGTGGAGTGGGAGAGGGAGAAGCAGGCTTCCCGCAGAGCAGGGAGCCCAATGCAGGGCTTGATCCCAGGACCCTGGGATCATGACCTGAGCTGAAGGCAGATGCTTAACGACTGAGCCACCTAGGTGCCCCTGTGCTCTTGCCTTTTGAATAGGGATTCAGACTTTGTCTTTCTCTGTCAAGTACTACATACGTAGTAAATAGTAAGATTAATTATAGGATTCTTTTTTCTGACTTCCCAGGTACCCAAGAAGCATCTGATTTAATGTCACCTAGCAAACGGAGCTCTCAGAAGTACATAATAGAAGGACTGACTGAAAAATCGTCCCAGATTGTGGACCCTTGGGAGAGGTTGTTTAAGATTTTAAATGTTGTTGGAATGAGATGTGAATGGCAGATGGATAAAGGAAGACGGTAAAAAATGTTCATTTCTAGAATTGCTTAGCAAGCCTTCTGATACTGTATATCTCAGGATCTTTAAAAACAAAAACACTTTCTTAAAAAGCATATAATGTATAGATACACTTTTCTTTGGACAACTTCTATAACCTTGGCATTTATGCAAAAGAGGGTGGTTTTCCACTTTATTAAAAGATTCCCAACGGAAGTATGAACTTGTAAGATGCTATTGAGCTTGAAGCACTCTTTGGCATTCAGAGGAAAGAGTAGCTACTTTGTCGTGTCTATGTCCTAAAATAGTGGTCTCATCACTGCTCTAATTCAGAAGGGGAATTATGCATGCCTCCAGCTACATTTGGTAAATGTCATGCTCCTTTTGGGGCTTTTCTCTAGACCTTTTGCTGATAAGCCGAGTAATTAAATACTTTTTATCATCCTTCATCTTTCAGAAACTATGGTGATATTTTGCATAGAATGAAGGATCTCTGCAGATACATGAACAACTTTGATAATGAAGCTCATGCAAAATATAAAAACCAAGTGGTTTATTCAACTATGTTGGTCTTCTTTAAGAATGCATTCCAGTATGTCAACAGCATACAACCATCTCTATTCCAAGGTTGGTTAAAAAATTCAAGAGTCTCCCAAAATACTGCTTCAGCTGGGGTGATGAAGGTGATGAAAATGTTTACCTTAACATTGTTCTTGGATCCAAATCATTGTGGGGTGACACCAGTGCTTTTTTTAAGTTGTTGGTAGTTTTTATGTAAGTACGTTTTCATTTAAAATTTCTATGTCGGGGTGCCTGGGTGGCTCAGTCGGTCAAGTGTCCCACTGTTGATCTGCACTCAGGTCTTAATCTCATGGTTGTGAGATCGAGCCCTGCATTTGGGCTCCACGCTGGGCATGGAGCCCACTTGATTAATTAATTAATTAAATTTCTATTTTAAAGAATGTAGTGGTACTGTGAAACTAAATACAGATATTTAGTGCCTCTATTTTGAAAAAGCAGCAGATGTAGCAAAGTACTGAAGTAGATTTCACAAAGGCTTTGCGATAGACAGAGATTTTTTTTTAAATAACATTTTTGCGTATAAATTGTAAAAAATGTGAAAAACAGAAAGGTAAAAGAATGAAATCACCTACCCATCCAATATAATACAGCTCTCATTTTTGTGTATTACTTTATAGTCTTTCATATATTTAGATTTTGTTTGGAATTTATAGCTATAAGATATTATACATATAACTTCATAGTCTTTAGTTTTTGGCTAATATCATGATTCATGATCACTATGAAAAATTTGTAGATACAGGGAAGGAACTTTCATTTGTAATCTGTCATTGAGAAAGAACCTTTATTAATAATCTCGTGTATATCTGTACAGTCTTTTTTCCTATTCATGTATACTTGTTTGTCTGCCTAACTGGGATCACACTGAACATACTTTTTAATGACCTGTATTTTCAAACGACAGGTGAATAAACTTCCACCTGATATTAAGTTTTATTTTCCTTGCCGCATTTTTAAGTGTTGGTGTTTTCCCCCCATCCATAGGTCCTAATGCCCCAAGCCAAGTTCCACTGGTTCTTCTTGAGGATGTATCAAATGTGTATGGTGATGTAGAAATTGACCGTAACAAACATATACATAAAAAGAGGAAACTAGCTGAGGGAAGAGAAAAAACCATGGTAATCCTTTCAGATATGATTATTAACAGATTATGTGTTTGCGGTTTGCGGGAAATGAATGTAAAATACAACTTTGGAGCTAAATTGATAAAGCTTAGGTCTTTGAATTATAATTACTGTGTAAATCAGCAGTTCTCAGCTGGAGGTGATTTTGCCCCCCAGGGACATTTGGCAGTGTCTGAGGACACTTTGATTTCCACGGCTTGGTGGGGAGGAGTTGCTATGAGTGTCTCCTATGTAGAGGCCAGGATGCTGTGAACAGTGCTACAGTGCACGGGACAGCCCCACAACAAAGAGTTGTCCAGCTCAAAAGGTCGATGTTGAGAAAGCCTGGTATAAGTTAGTTCTACCTGTCATGACTGAATGGCATCAATTGAGGGTAAAAAGCAAAGCCAGGTGAGCTACACTGAACATCTAGACAGGGTGCTGTGCTGAGCCCTGGCCTCAGAATGGAAAGGGCTGAGGTGTTCCGGCTAGGAAGTCATTAAAGCCAAGGGGAGATGTTGGAAAGGTTTCATGAAGGAGGTCAGCATTTGAAATCAGCCTTGAAGGATGTAGCAGTTTTGTCATTTGGAATTGGAGGGTGGATTTTGTAAAGAGAAGACAGTTTGCACAAAGTTGTGGAAGGCCAGAGAACCTGAAGAACCATTGGTCTTCGATGGGGGCCAAGCAGCAGGCCTGGGCAGAACAAGTGATTTCTAAACTTATTTTAAAGCAGCGGATTCCTTTCAGTGAAAGCTTTCGTGGAGGCCCGGCCTGTAACAATACGACAGTGGAGGTGCTCCAGGTCAGGAGTCAGCAAACTTTTTCTGTGAAGGGCCAAGAAATAGTGCAGGCTTTATAGGCCCAACGGTCTCTGTTGCAGCTCCTCAGCTCTGCTGTTACAGTACAAAAAATAGCCGTAGACACTAGGAAACAAATGAGGTGGCCATGTTCTAGTAGAACTTTATTTATAAAAACAGGAACTGGTCTGCAGGTCATAGTTGGCTAACCCCTGCTCCAGGTGCAATACCACAGGGGAGCCAAGAGTCTCCCCCATTTTCTGTCCCCTCCCCTCTCCTCCTGTCAGTCCCCTTAGCGCTTCTTCAGCCCCTGAGTTACATTCCCTAGACCCGGGCATGAGGAGAGATGTGCCTGAAAATCAGTTCAATCTGATGTCTTTGTAAATTGTACTGTATACCATAGAATGGAGCAGGGAAGACAAAGCCTTTCGGAAGGCTTGTGAGTTTATCAAACCTTCTGATAAACTCATTTGTTTCCTCCCACAGAAAAACGCACACATGCACGATTTCACAAATAATTTCCAAGGTTGAAAGATGTTTTGAAATCCAGGCATGAACCCCAGGTTGAGAACTCTGCTAACCAGGCTTTCCCAGATGTCCTCTGATTCATGTTTTAAAAAGATCACTAAGGCTGCTGGGTAGCTCCTCTCCCCTTCTCTCCTGACATTCCCAGGTGGGGTCACTCAGTAGCTCTCCCTTCTGGTTTCCGTGTGTGGTTTATCCAGGTACTTCACATTAGGACCACAGACACCCTTCCTGCCATGTGGATAATAGGTCGTCTAATACAAGTTTTAAGTCAAAGCAGTGACATGTCCCACACAAATCGGTATAAATAACATGGCTCCAGCCGTCTCTTTCTCTCCATCCCCACCACCTGCTCCCTGTCCAAGCCATCCCAGTCTTTCATACGTCATCAGGGGTGTGCTCTTGTCTCCCTGCTTGCACCCTTGCTCCCACCGTCTCTTCTCTGCCCAGCAGCTTTAGTGAGGTTTTTAAGACCTGAATCAGACATCACTCCTCTGCTTTACTACCTCTGTGGCTTCCCGTCATGCTCAGAATAAAATCCAAGCTCTTCACGTTGGCTTCAAAGCCGTTACTGAGCAAGCCTTTGCGTGCCCCAGACACGCTGGCCTCTCTTGCACCTCCCATGCTCTGAGCCCCTTTCTGCCCCTGGATCTCTGCCCCCGAGCTGTGCCCTCAGGTTGGAGTACGTCTCTCTGCCAGGCTGTGTCCTTTTCACAGCTCTCAGCATGGACATTTCTCCCTCTGAGGCCTCCTCGAAATACTCATCCAGTTTTCTCTATTAGTCTATTTTAATTCTGCATAACCCTTATTGCTGTCTGTTTCCTTGTTTCTTCATTTGCGAGTCCAGCCATGTCTGTCTCCCGATTAGTTCTGTACAAGCTCTGTGGGGCCAAGGACACTGTCCATCTCGTACCCTGGACATCTGGACAGTGCCTGAGCCACAGCTGGCAAATGAGTGAACCCCCACTCTTCCCTCAGCCTTGTCGTCCGGGCCATGGCATAGCTGTTTAAACCCTCTGGCTCTCTGGTTCCTCCTGTTTCTCACCTCTCATGTGTCATCTAGCAGGCCCTGCTCTCGTACTCTGGCCCTCCAGCCAACCTGGGTTTCCGTCTGCTTTTGTTTTTACTCTATTAACTGATTTTTCCTGGTGTTCATTCTATCCCACAGTCTGCCCCCGACCTGCCACGAGTCCAGCCATGTCTGTTTGAGCCCTCACAGCAGAGGACATAAAGCTCAGCTTACAGATTCATCTTGTTTTACTCATTGTGTTTTGCTTTTAATAACCGAACATCTAAAAATTGGGAGATTTCTCACAACAGTCGAGATGTCTGACTTCTTTAAGAATTGGAATATCTGATACACTGGCCCCTGATGCTGGCCCACAGCTGGGGCCAGATGGAGGCTGCCCATTTCAGACAGGCGTACGTTCTCCACGCAGCCTGATTCCCTGGCTCACATGCCGTGCCAGGTGGCTGGAGCTGGGGGACTGTCCTCTCCTTTGGGCAACCCATTCTCCACCCACACATGCTATAGTCAGGGTTCTCGCTTACAGCATCCGCCTAGAACTTCAGAATGTACTTTTGCATTTCAAAATCAATTTCTCTGAATTATAGAAACCGTTTGGAAACTATTCTCACCACACCTGAGATCCCTTCCATAAACTGCCAATCCTGTTTTGAAGCAGGAGTGTTCTCTTATAAAATTGCAACAGTGAGTACCCCACTCATGTTAGTATATCCTATAGATTGGCAACATGTGGCAAGGAACTGGACCCTGATGAAGTAGGATACCTAACAGGGTCTGACTGTAAAAAGGAATCTGGGTGTGTGTCGTTATCGGGGGGGATAAGAATATGGTAGCTAAATAGAGTAGGCGGGGAGGGTTCCCAAGCATCAGGGACTGGCAGAAGAATACCAGGCTGTGAAAGTGGGGGGAGAAAGGTGGGTAGTGGGAGGGAAGTGCTTATTTTTTCTGAGATCAGCTTGAGGAATGGAGCTTTTAGCTGAAATATTTGTACATACTTTTGAATCATCATAGTGGTGTGAAAATCTGTAGGGAGAATTTAATTTGGGTCATTAAGTTAGTAAAATTACGTAGGGATAATAAGAGTTAAGAAATTCTCAGCAAAATAAAATTAAGTGGAGCTGTTTTACCTTTACTATTTTTTGGCAAAATGTCTGACCATGCTCACTGGCACTTAAATAGTTGCAATTCTCTGAGACCTCTCTTTGGCTTTATGTTTCTTGAGATGAAGAGCAAGAAAAGTAGGGTTCTTTATTATAAACTACAGAAGGCCTTAATAGATAAGTGCAGGCAAATGGAATTCCTGGCCGACACCTTGCATTGGGGGAGCAGAGCTAGAGAGGGTTGGCGTGGGAGAAGTTGTGTATAGGGAACAAAAGATTAGGAAGGGTCATTTCTCCGATTCTTAGGGCACTTGGGCTTTAATTTTAATTCCTCTACATGATAAACTTATTGGGAAGCAAATTAAATTATTTCACGTATTAAAAAAAATAAATGACAAAACACATGCCACGTAAGCTGTATCTGTAAGAATCTAATTGGGGGCTTTTATAACATTGATACGTTTTTAAACTATTGGAGGTCTTAACCCCATGGCTTTACTTAGAAGCCAACATAAGCTTAGAATTTATCATCAGAAAAACATAAGCTTAGTTTTTAAGGTAAAAATTGAATGTGTGAGAGTGAAACTATCCTCATGGTAGTATCCTTTGATATAAAATCCATACAGTAATCAGAATTGGTGGTAATAAACATAACAACGTCCAAGTACAGTTGACCCTTGAACAACATGGAGGTAGGGACGAGGGACGCAAACCCCCCCCACCCTGCACAGTCATAAATCTGTGTATAACTTTTGACTCCCCCAGGACGTAACTACTAATAGCCTGCTGTTGACCAGAAGCCTTACTGATAACATAAATAGTTGATTACCCTATATTTGGCATATTCTATATATTATATACTGTATTCTCGCAACACAGTAAGCTGGAGAAAAGGAAATGTTGTTAAGACAATCATAAGGAAGAGAAGTACATTTACAGTGCTAGACTGTAAAAAATCCGTACGTCAACGGCTCTATGTAGTTCAAACCTGTGTTGTTGACGGGTCACCTGTATATGACTTAAGTTAATCACCTTCTTCACCTTCTGTAAGCAGAGTTCAGACGACGAAGACTGTTCAGCAAAAGGAAGGAATCGTCACATCGTAGTCAATAAAGCAGAGCTTGCTAACTCCATTGAAGTGCTCGAGAGCTTTAAGCTAGCCAGGGAGAGCTGGGAGTTGCTCTACTCCCTGGAATTCCTTGACAAGGGTAAGAACATGCTTGTCGTATTAGTGCTGTTTAATGTGTTATGTACAATCAGTGTGCTTACAAAAGCATTCTACTTGAAACAGCAAGAACTCTTAGAGCTAAATTGCTTACAGTAGTTCCATAGTTTATAGGATTCTTGAGCAGGACATCTAATCAGTGACTAATATCCAAATGATCAAAAAGATACTCAAATGATTATTTACATCTTAGCTTCTACTCTGAGTGTTTATTATAACTACAGTGGGGTGGAGTTTGAGGGAGACATTTGTATTGCTGGCCTCCTTTCTTTCTCTTGCTGGGTTTGTTTTGTGTTTTTAGTTGTTCTGTCTGCCTTGTGTCTTCCTTAGGTCACGTGTAGCTAAGCATACAAAAGGTAATGCTATTTTTATCTGCATTAACTCCATTGCCTGAAAAACTCACCCTACAGAAAGCCCGTTTTCCTTTGAGAATAGACCTAAATCTGCAGGGAGTTTTACAACTATTAAGTATGTCAACATTACTTAGAAATTACTAGCGCGTTGCTAAGCCATGGAATTTTACTCTGCTTTGGAGTCAACGGTGTGTTTTTATTTTCCTTCTGGCCAATGGACTTTCGTCCTTGGGCCTGCTTCCGTCACGTGCCTGTACAGAACCCTTGGTCAGAAGTGTCATGTCATTTTTTTCTAGGTAGATAGAGCATCACTCCATCTCTCCCGGTCACATCTAGAATTGTAAACGTGTATGTGACCTTTGGGGATGGGGGTAATTTTCCTTTAGTTATAACTTGACTTTTTAAAAAATGAGTAAAAGGGTGCCTGGGTGGCTCAGATGGTTAAGCGTCTGCCTTTGGCTCAGGTCATGATCCCCGGGTCCTAGGATCGAGCCCTGCATCCGGCTCCCTGCTCGGCGAGGAGCCTGCTTCTCCCTCTCCAACTCCCCCTGCTTGTGTTCCCTCTTTCGCTGTTTCTCTCTCTCTGTCAAATAAATAAATAAAATCTTAAAAAATATATTTAATAAATAAATAATGAGTAAAACTCTTACCTTGTATCTTTGTTTTCTGAGCTGGGTGAAAATAAAACAATACCTTTTTCTGAGGAGAGCAAAATAATTTACAAGATAAATGAGGATGAACAGCTCTTGGAACATGGTGTGTGCTTAGTATATGTTGGGGCCTAATAAAAATACTGCTTGTGGATTACTGATAGTATTATATTCTAACTTTACTATCTAATTAAAATTCTAGACCATTGTTTTAGAAATCAAAGTCGATAGTTACTATCCATTTTTTGGAAGTTTGTCTCTTGTTTTGCTGGGTTTGTTTTGTTTTCTGCTTCTGTGTTAACATGTTTTTGGTAAATCTGCTTTTCAATTCTCAGAATTTACAAGAATTTGTTTGGCCTGGAAGACAGATACTTGGCTTTGGTTAAGAATCTTCCTCACTGATATGATCATCTATCAGGTAGAGTGATGTATATTTTAAGTTCCTCTGTCTGTATAGGATGATTATTACTGTGAACCGACTATAGCATGTGGGATGCGTCTGTTCCTTCTGTAGACTAGTTGTGCTCTGAAGACATGTTCTGTCTTCAGTGGCAGGATTATGGTCCACTTTCATCTCAAAAAAAAACCCCAAAATGACAAGGCCACGTCTTCTGTGTTTCTTTTAATATGTCCAGCCACACCCCTCTGTGAAAGTAAGATTTTTACTTTTTAATAAAAGATGACTACTTCTCGCCCCTCCTTCTCTCTACTCTGATGGAGTCCTTCTGCCCTGCCCCACTGTTCTTGAGCTACTTATGCCTGGAATGGAGAGAGCTAATAATTCCCTAAGAAGATGCAGAGCTTCCAACCTCTGTTGTCAAAACAGACAGGTTGCTGCTTCCATCCTACATAAAGGAGAAATGGTATGAGTAGTAAAATATTTATAAGAAATGGTATGTCCAGAATGTGTTTTATCCAAAAACTTGTGTTATTTTATTTAGTCTTAAGACGTAAGACCCAGGGTGCCTGGCTGGCTTAATCGGTAGAGCATGTGACTCTTCATGTCGGGGTCGTGAGTTCAGTCCCCATGTTGGGTGTAGAGATAACTAAAAAATAAATAAACTTAAAAAAAAAAAAAGAATTAAGACCAGAAAGAAAAATCTTTGTACGTATAAAGTACCTCCATAGAGAACCCTCCGCCTAGCTTTAAATAAGTTGGTTTGATTATTGCTAAGTCTCCTTTTTCCTCCTCAGATGATCAAACAGAGCTGCTTTATTTGTAGTTGCTTTATTAACTCTGGCAATGTTTCTTTCTTTCCTTCTTTATTTGAGAGAGAGCATGGGAGAGGGGCAGAGGCAGAGGGAGAGAGTGTTAAGCAGACTCCGCGCTGAACACGAAGCCCGACTTGGAGCTTGATCTCACGGCTCTGAGATCACGACCTGAGCCAAAACCAAGAGTCAGATGCTTAATCGACTGTGGCACCCCAACTCTGGAGATTTTTTTTTTAACAGTGTTTTTCACCTCCTTGCTGTTATGTCTTTCTTAGGGTCAATATAAAAAAGCAATAGCCAGCCTGCATCATCTAGCAGCTCTCCAGGGGTCGCTTCCTCAGCCGCAGATCACAGGACAGGGGACCCTGGAGCATCAGAGGGCACTCATCCAGCTAGCGACCTGCCACTTTTCTCTAGGGGAGTACAGAGTGAGTAGTGTACGCCTTGCCCAGCAACCCTCAGATGCACTCAGCTACCCTGGGGCTTCCTCTTTTCCTAGAGTGGCCTTTTAATTCAGTGCATGTTTATTTGAAATAGGATTTTTCTGCCTAGATTTTATCACCTAATCTGCTGGTAAAAATCTTGATAATTTTGTTTTGCTTAGTTTTCTCTTTAGTTATAGCTTCCCTGAAATTAGGCTTTGGTACTTTTCAGATTTCCTGCTCCTTTTCCATTTTGTTGGAGGATGGTTTCTTTTATTCTTTGCTTTCTTATCTGGAATCCCTTTAAAACAGAATCAGTCCTGTTGTACTTGGACAGAATAGGCATTTACTAAGTGGGAAATGGAGGATTTCCATTAGCTTGTCTGAGCCTCAGATTCTCTTTTTACACGATGATGACACCTCATAGGGGTGTTTCAGGAGCAGATATGTAAACAAGTCTGTTTCCTCTGTGATTGTGAGCCCCTCGTATCACAGGGTAGAGACCATGTGCTTTACCTTCGAATCTCTCATAGCACATACCACAGAGGTCTGCACAGCTTTGATACTTAATAAATGTTTGAATTCAATGAAAATGATAAGCACATTCTTTATTCTTTATACAGTATAAATTCAAGGCCACAACTTAACACACAAACTCTGATTTCTTCTTACCTTTCTATACGTTAAGTTGATTACTTTGTGATTAGTAACCCTGAATAAAGTTTTTAAACTTCAACTTTGAAATATGATTTATAATTTGCTATGATGATATTTAGGAGGAAAGAATTAGAGAGCACATAAAGTTTGTGCATTGAAAATTGAAAATACTTTTCTGCCATTATATAGGTAATTATCAGATACCTAATTCTAAGTTTCAATGAATTCCTCCTGAGAACTTGAGAGCACATATTTATCCATGCAGATATCCATATATTGTGTAAAATTAGAGAGTTACACAAGGCACTGCTGTTCAGCATCATATTAGGGAATATAAAATAAACAGATTTAATCAAGCTGGGCAAACTCATTCTCTTTGAGGACTTCAGTCAAAGCTGATCACTATTAGGCCTACATCCTTAGTTTCTCACTTAACCTGCTTCTTTTTTTTTTTTTTTAAGAATTTATTTATTTGACAGAGAGAGAGATAGCGAGAGCAGGAACACAAGCAGGGGGAGTGGGAGAGGGAGAAGCAGGCTTCCGGCAGAGCAGGGAGCCCGATGTGGGACTCGATCCCAGGACCCTGGGATCGCGACCTGAGCCGAAGGCAGATGCTTAACAACTGAGCCACCCTGGCGCCCCTTAACCTGCTTCCTGAATCTCAGCTGCCTTCAGCTGTCTGTCTTCAGCTCAGACCCAGTGTGTCCAGATGTGAGTTTCCTTCGTTCTCTGGCCCTTAGATGTAAAACTCTCAAATCATGGTTGACTCTTACTCTGGCTAATCATTTTGATTCTTCCAGTGTGAAGCTAATATCTTTGGTGTAGTGCACTTTATTTCCTTTGCCACCACTCTAATCCATGGCTCTGAACTGAGATTTTTGCCGATAATCTTTTTCCATCTCTAAGTTATGGTCATTGCTTTCTACAAAATTGTTGTCATTGTTCCACTTAACTGAAATATTGACTTCCTTGGTGCCCAGAGTTGAACCATGTGCTGGGGGTGGAGATATAAGCAGGGTATGGGGAATGGGGGATCCCTAATTCAGGACATAGAATTTGAGTTACAGAGAAAAGTGCAACTATTTATAGAAGACAGTTAAAAATCAAATACTAAGTGTTATGCCCCTGACATATGCACAGTAGGCATTCAGGAAAGGGTGTTTTCACCAGGGTCCATGTAGTCAAGGAAGAATTTACAGAAAAGATTGGCTGGAGGTGGGCATATGACCCTGGAGAACACATCATGGCCCCACCACTTACTAGCTCTGTGACCTGGGGCAAGTTACCTCACTGAGCTTTCTTTTTTTTTTTTTTAAGATTTTATTTATTTATTTGAGAGAGAGAGAATGAGAGATAGCACGAGAGGGAAGAGGGTCAGAGGGAGAAGCAGACTCCCCACTGAGCAGGGAGCCCGATGTGGGACTTGATCCCGGGACTCCAGGATCGTCATATGACCTGAGCCTAAGGCAGTCGCCCAACCAACTGAGCCACCCAGGCGCCCCTCACTGAGCTTTCTAACTCCAGTGTTCAAGTTCTTAACTACCAAGCTGTCAAGCTTTTAAAGCTGGAGCTTCACAACGCTATGGCCCTGGGTGGGTTCTGGATGTGCCAAGAGACCGACGCTCTCAGTTAGCTGTGGCTTGAGGCAGCTAGGGCCCCCAGGTTAGTGCTGCCAGCTCTGAGCAGCCTTACAAGTATTTTCTGGATGCGCCAAGACATGAAAAAGGGTAGGAAGCATAGGTTTAACACTCCACTTCCTCATCTGTAAAATAGGGATAATAAGAAGGTTGTGCTAGATGCATAGAATACACTCCCCAAATGGAATCTGGCTCTTATTAGAATTTGAACAGGTAGACCGAAGGTAATGGCTCACTCTGTGGATCGAGAGCAGCCTGCTCAGTGTGGCACTTGAGGCTTCCCTCCTCACAAGTACTGCATCAGACCGGTTTTTCCTAAACCACGCCTTCCTTCCCCTCACCTAATCACCTATAAACAATACCCAGCCCTTCCCTACGTCTTTCTGTCCTCTGAAAACCCTTTTTTCTGTTTTCCACATTCCAGATTCTTCCCTCCCTTTAAGGTTGAGTTAAGAGTAACCTTCCTACCTGAAACTTTTCCAGCTAGTTTAGCCTGTGTGTGTTTCTCCTTCATTTTAAATTATGCTCTATATCATACCATGTAGTTCAGTACTCTGTGTACCCATTTTGTTGATTTTTCTATTCAGTGAGTTAGTAAATGTCTTTAAGATGGACCACTGTGCTGTTAAACACGTGGGTAGTTTAGTTAATACTTGACTAATTTTTAATTTTTGTTCTTTTGTTTTAATAGCAAAGAATGAGTTATTATTCCCCCAAAGATCTAGTACCTCGATTCAATCTCAGTTACTTTTTCTACATTTGCTGTTGATCAAACAGTAATGATCTCATAGAGTCTTGAGGTAGTTCTACTCCATGTACACACATTGCCCAGTTGTCTGCTACACACATTAGTGTTCTGTTGATTTGCTTTCAAGGATAAAATTTCAGATTGGTGCTTTTTCATCTGATCTGCTTTAGATGACATGTGAAAAAGTCCTTGATTTGATGTGCTACATGGTACTCCCCATTCAAGATGGAGGCAAATCACAGGAGGAACCCTCAAAAATAAAGCCCAAATTTAGAAAAGGTACAGTGACAAGTTTTATTCTTATTTTGTAAATATGGCTGTAGGACCCAAGGCCGGGAAATTCTTTTAAGATTCCTGATGAAATAATACTGTGTGATCTAAGGGGTTTGACAAACTGTATAAAAAGTTAATCCCTTGCCAAGCTTGTCCTTGGCACTGATTTCATAAGCACCTGTAAATCTGTCTTTCTTCGAAAGTTCTCTTCACTTCCCGAGTTTGTTATCTCTGAAGAATATCCGTGAACTCCTTTTCCCATCTTTACCAATTCTCGGAAAACTTCCAGATGATTCTTAGTTAAGAAGTGTCTCCTAGCATTTCCCTCTCAGGCTATTTTGAGCTTTACCTCAAGTAGCACATTGCTTGAAAAACTACATAAATTTAGTTGTAATGCTTCTACAAGAATGGAAGAAAGATTCACTGTCTCAGGGTTCTAAGTTTCCACGTTAGAGGTTAGAAAAAGATAAACAAATGAAACCCAAAGAAAGTAGAAGACAGGAAATAACAAGGACAAAAATCAGTGAAATAGAGGAAATTAGAAAAGCTAAACATTGTTTTTTTGAGAAAAAATTGGTAAACTCCTAACAAGATTGATGAGAAAGTGAGCACAAGTTACCGCTAGCAGGAATGAAAGAAGGAATGTCACTACAGAGCGTACTGAAATCAAAAGGACATTAAGAGAATAAATTATTAATAACTTTATGCCAATAAATTCAACAATTTAGATGAAATGGAAAAATTCCTTGAGAAACACAACTTGCTGAAACTGACACAGAATGAAATAGAAAATAAGAATGTTCCTACATCTATCAAAAAAATTAAATTGTTATCAGAAACTTTCCCACAGAACTCCCGATCAAAGTGGCTTCACTGGTGAATTCTGTCAAGCGCTTCGGAAGAAATAACATCAACCCTACACATACCCCTGGAGAAAAGAGAGAAAGAGGGAATGTTTCCCAATTCAGTTTTTAAGGTCACCATAACCTAACAGCAAAACAAGTAAGAGCATTACCAGAAAAGGACATTAAAGGCCAGTATCCATCATAAACATAGATTCCAAAATTCTCAAAAAATCTTAGCAAATTGAATACAGCAGCATATAAGAAGAATAACACATATGACCAAGTATGCTGGGAATGCAAAGGTGGTTTAACGTAGAAAAATCATACACTGTAATATCACCACTTTAGCATAGTAAAGGAGAAAAATCATATGATTCTCTTAATAGATACAGATAGGTTCTGTTATGTTTGCCTTTATCATTCATGATTTTTAAAAAATCTTAGCAAACTAAAATAGTTGTTCCTCAACATCCTTAACTATAAAATAGCAAATGCTTTTCCCAAGATCAGCAACAATACAAGAGTGTTTACTCTTACCACTTCAATTCAGCATACTGGAGCTTGCAGCCAGCACAATAGGGAAGAAAAAGGAAGGCATAAAGGTTGAAAACAGAAAACATATGTAGACTGCGGCTACGTATGTGGCTACATGAGACAAGCCTATGGAATCTCCAAATAGAATAACATCAAAAAACATGAAATACTTAGGGACAAATTTATTGAAAAGTATGCAAAATCATGTTCATAGATTGGAAGACTCATATGTGTTAGGGTTCCAATTCTCCCCAAATGTATCTATAGACTCAGTGCAATCCCAATCAAAATCCCAGGAGACTTTTTTTTGGTAGAAATTGACAAATTTGATTCTAAAATCCATAGGGAAGTGTAATCTAGAATAGCTGAAACAGTTTTGAAAAAGATAACAAAACTGGGCAACTTACCCTACCTGATAGCAAGACTTTTAATATAAAGCTACAGTTACCCAGACAGTATTGGCATAAGAGTGAAAAATCCAGAAAGAGACCTATACAAATATGGTCACATGATTTTCAGTGAAGGCACCAGAGCAATTCTTTGGAGAAAGGAAGGCTTCTTCAACCAATTGGTGCTGGAACAAAGGGCCTCTGGTGTAGCCAGAAAAAGGATCCTCAAGCAATCCACATCCTCAGGCATGTCACATTATTCACAAAAACTAATTTGAGATGGAGCTGAAACTAAATGGAAAAACTAAAATGATAACATTTTTTTGGAAGAAAAAGTATTGCTCTCCATGCAGGGGCCCTGCAAGTGGCAGGCTTGGAGCAACCCTCCTCCCTTCCCTGGGAGGATTGGTGTGGGTGCAAACCACAGGAGCCTGCAGAGTTTGGTGTGTACACAAAAGTGAAGACTGCTTTTCCCTGAGGGCTTACTGAAGAGAGAGGGGCCACAGTGTTTCGGCTCCAGGACTGGAGATTGGCCATTTTTATTTTCATCCTCTAAAGTAGCACAGAAAGCCTTCAGGGAACAAAAGCCACATAGAGCAACCCAAAACAGCTTACACGGAGCCCACCCCCCTGGCAAGGGGCAGTGCACCTCTGCCCAGGCAAAGACACCTGAGAATCAGGGCAGCAGGCCCCCAGAAGACCAGCTGGATCATCAGGCAAATACCAAGTTTACAGAGCACACAGAACTGCAAAACTCCAGTGCTAGGAGAAAATAGTATATAGAATTCAAGGTTTTTTCCTGATTCATTTATCTTTCAGTTTAAAATTTTCCTTTTTTTTTTTTCCTTTTCAACTAGTTTCTTATTTGATGAACTCTTTGTTTTTAAGTCTTTTTTTTTAACTTTCATTTTTACATTTACGTTTTATAAATATATTCTTCATTTTTGGCTTCCTTTCACTGTATTCAATACATATATAATTTTTTGCTTTCTTTATAATTTTGGGATTTAGTGTCTTCTGACAAACAGACCAAAATAACACCCACGACCAAGTGGATCACCCTGTTTTGTCCACCTGGGAAAGTATATTCTCTTCTTTTTCTCTTTTTTTTTTTCTTTTTCTTTTCTTTTTTGATTTCTGACCTCTTCAGATTCGTGTAGTCTGTATTTGTCTTGGGTCGTGGTTGATATTTTTGATTTTGTTCTCTCGTTCATTCATTCTTCTCTGGGCAAAATGACTAGAAGGAGGAATTCACAACAAAAGAAAGAACCAGAGGTAATACTCTGCCACAGAGCTAATTGATATGGAAATAAGTAAGATGTCAGAGATGGAATTCAGTATAACAACTATAAAGTTAATAGCTAGGCTTGAAAAAAGCATAAAAAACTCTAGAGAATTTCTTAGTGCAGAAAGGAGATCTAATCAGGTTGAAATTAAAAATGCTTTGAGATGCAGTCTAAAATGGATGCTCTTAACAGCTAGGGTAAATGAGGCAGAAGAGAGAGTCAGTGACATAGAAGACAAGATGATGGAAAGGAAGGAAGCTGAGGAAGAAAGAAAAACAAATGGACTATGAGGGGAGGCTTTGAGAAACCAGCGATACCATAAAGCAACACAGTATTAGAATTATTGGGGTCCCAGAGGAAGAAGAAAGAGAGAGGGACAGAAGGTATATTTGAGCAAATCATAGCTGAGAACTTACCTAATCTGGGGAAGGAAACAGGCATTCAAATCTAAGAGGTAGAGAGAACCCCCTCCCTCAAAAATCAGTAAAAGTAGATCAACACCCTGACATATATTAGTGAAGCTTGCAAACTTCAGCAGTAAAGAGAAACTCTTGAAAGCAGCTCCAGACAAGAGGTTCTTCACCTACAGGGATAGGAATGGCAGCAGACTTATCCACAGAGACCTGGGAGGCCAGAGGGGCTGGCATGATATATTCAGGGTGCTAAATGAGAAAAACATGCAGCCAAGAATACTTCATCCAGCAAGGCTGTCATTCAGAATGGAAGGAGAGATAAAGAGCTTCCAGGACAAACAGAAACTAAAAGAATTTGTGATCACTAAAACAGCCCTGCAAGGAATATTAAAGGGGATCCTGTAAGTGAAGAGAGAGCCCAAAAGTAAAATAAACCAGAAAGAAACAGAGACAGTCTGCAGAAACAGGGACTTCATAGGTAATACAATGGCACTAAATTCATTATCTTTCAGTAGTTACTCTGCATGTAAATGGGTTAAATACTCCAAACAAAAGACACAATGTATCAGATTGAATAAAAAAAGCAAGAGCCATCCATGTGCTGTCTACAAGAGACTCATTTTAGACCTAAAGACACCTCCAGATTGACAGGGGGTGGAGAACACTTTGTCATGCTAATGGGCATCAAAAGAAAGCTGGGGTAGCAATCCACATACCAGACAAATTAGATTTTAAACTGAAGACTTACTAAGAGGTGAAGATGGACACTATATCACACTTAAAGGGTCTATCCAACAAGAAGATCTAACAATTATAAATATTCTCCTACCTTGGGAGCAGTCAAATATATAAACCAATTAATAACCAAATTAAACACATTGATAATAACACAGTAATAGTAGGAGACGTCAACACCTCACTCACAGCAATGGACAGATCGTCTAAGCAAAAGATGAACAAGGAAATAAGGGCTTTGAGTGACATACTGGACCAGATGAACTTCACAGATATATACAGAGCATTTCTTCTTAAAGCAAGAGAGTGCACATTCTTCTCAAGTGCACATGGAACATTCTCCAGAATAGTTAACATACTGGGTCACAAATCAGGTCTCAACTGGTACCAAAAGATAGGGATTTTCCCTGCATATTTTCAGACCACAGTTCTTTGAAACTTGAACTCAATCACAAGAGGAAATTTGGAAAGAAACACTTGGAGGTTAAAGAGCATCCTACTAAAGAATGAATGGGTCATCCAGGAAGTAAAAGAATTAAAAATTCATGGAAACAAATGAAAATGAAAACACAACTGTTGGAAACCTTTGGGATACAGCAAAGGTGGTCCTAAGAGGGAAGTACATAGCAATACAAGCCTTTCTCAAAAAATTAGAAAAGTCTCAAATATACAAGCTAATCTTACACCTAAAGGATGTGGAGAAAGAACAACAAATAAAGCCTAAACCAAGCAGGAGAAGAGAAAAAGAGCAGAAACCAATGAAATAGAAACCAAAAGAATAGTAGAACAGATCAATGAAACTAGAAGCTGGTTCTTGGAAGAATTAATAAGATGGATAAACCCCTAGCCAGACTTACCAAAAAGAAAAGAGAAAGGACCCAAATTAATAAAATCATGAATGAAAGAGGAGAGATCACTACCAACACCAAGGAGATAAAAACAATTTTAAGAACATATAATGAGGGGCACCTGGGTGGCTCAGTTGTTAAGCGTCTGCCTTTGGCTCAGGTCATGATCCCAGGGTCCTGGGATCGAGCCTCACATCGGGCTCCGTGCTCTGCCGGAGTCTGCTTCTTCCTCTCCCACTCCCCCTGCTTGTGTTCCCTGTCTCACTGTGTCTTTCTCTGTCAAATAAATAAATAAATCTTAAAAAAAAAAAACCATATTATGAGCGACTATATGCCAACAACTTAGGCAATCTGGAAGAAATGGATGCATTCCTGAAACTTATAAACTACCAGAACTGTAACAGGAAAAAATAGAAAACCTGAACAGACCCATAACCAGCAAGGAAATTGAAGCAGTAATCAAAAATCTCCCAACAAACAAGAGTCCAGGGCTGGATGGCTTTCTAGGGGAATTCTACCAAACATTGAAGGAAGAGCTATTACCTATTCTTCTGAACCTGTTTAAAAAAAAAAAAAAATGTAAGGAAAACTTCCAAACTCGTTCTGTGAGGCCAGCATTACCTTGATCCCAAAACCAGACAAAGACCCCACCAAAAAGGAGAATTACAGACCAATTTCCCTGAAGAACATGGATGCCAAAATTCTCACCAAGATCCTAGCCAATAGGATCCAACAGTACATTAAAAGAATTATTCACCACGACCAAGTAGGATTTATTCCTGGGCTGCAAGGCTGGTTCAACATTTGCAAATAAATAACATGATACATCACATTCATAAAAGAAAGGACAAGAATCATATGATCCTCTCAATGCAGAAAAAGCATTTGACAAAATACAGCATCCTTTCTTGATTAAAACTCTCCACAGCATAGGGATAGAGGGAACATACCTCAGTATCACAAAAGCCATTTACGAAAAGCCCACAGTGAATATCATTCTCAATAGGGAAAAAATGAGAGCTTTTCCCCTAAGGTCAGGAACACGACAGGGATGCCCACTCTCATCACTGTTGTTCAACATAGTACTAGAAGTCCTAACCTCAACAATCAGACAACAAAAAGAAATAAAAGGCATTCAGATTGTCAAAGAAGTCAAACTATCTCTTTTAGCAGATGACATGATAGTTCATGTAGAAAACCCAAAAGACTCCACCCCAAAATTGCTAGAACTCATACAGGAATTCAGCAATGTGGCAGGATATAAAATCAATGCACAGAAGTCAGTTGCATTTCTATACACCAACAACAAGACAAGGAAGAATTTAAGGAATCAATCCCATTTACAATTGCACCAAAAACCATAAGATACCTAGGAATAAGCCTAACCAAAGAAGTAAAGGATCTGTACTCTAAAAACTACAGAACACTTATGAAAGAAATTGAGGAAGACACAAAGAAATGGAAAAACATTCCATTCTCATGGATTGGAAGAGTAAATATTGTTAAAATGTTTATGCTACCCAGAGCAATCTACATATTCAGTGCAATTCCTGTTAAAATACCATTCACGTTTTCACAGAGCTGGAACAAACAATCCTAAAGTTTGTATGGAACCAGAAAAGACCCGGGATAGCCAGAGGAATATTGCAAAAGAAAACCAAAGCTGGTGGCATCACAATGCCAGGCTTCAGGCTTTATTACAAAGCTATAATCAAGACCGTATAATACTAGCACAAAAACAGACACACAGATCAATGAAACAGAATAGAGAACCCAGAAATGGAACTCTCTGGTCAACTCTCTGGTTATTCTCAACTCTCTGGTCAACTAATCTTCAACAAAGCAGGAAAGAATATCCAATGGAAAAAGGACAGTCTCTTCAACAAATGGTGTTGGGAAAACTGGACAGCAACATGCAGAAGAATGAAACTACCATTTTCTTACACCATACATAAAGATAAACTCAAAATGGATGAAAGACCTAAATGTGAGACAGGAATCCGTCAAAATCCTTGAGGAGAACACAGACAGTAACCTCTTCGACCTCAGCCACAGCAACTTCTTGTTTGACACGTCTCCAAAGGCAAGGGAAACAAAAGCAAAAATGAGATATTGGGACTTCATCAAGATAAAAAGCTTCTGCACAGCAGAGGAAACAGTCAACAAAATAAGAGGCAACCTACTGAATGGGAGAAAATATCTGCAAATGACATAACATAAAGGGCTAGTATCCAAGCTCTATAAAGAACTTACCAAATTTAGTACCCAAAAAGCAATCCAGTCAATAGATGGGCAGAAGATGTGAACAGACATTTCTCCAAAGAAGACATACAAATGGCCAACAGACACATGAAAATAGGCTCCACATCCCTAAGCATCAGGGAAATACAAATCAAAACCACAATGAGATACCACCTCACACTAGTCAGAATGGCTAAAATTAACAACTTAGGAAACAACAGATGTTGGCGAGGATGCAGAGAAAGGGAAACTGTTTTACGCTGTTGGTGGGAATGCAAACTGGTGCAGCCACTCTAGAAAACGGTATGGAGGTTCCTCAAAAAGTTAAAAATAGAGCTACCCTATGACCCAGCAATTGCACTACTAGGTACTTACCCCAAAGATACAGATGTAGTGATCCAAAGAGGCACGTGCACCCCAATGTTTATAGCAGCAATGTCCATAATAGCCAAACTATGGAAAGAGCTGAAATGTCCATTGACAAATGAATGGATAAAGAAGATGTGGTTCATATATACAATGGAATATTACTCAGCCATCAGAAAGGATGCATACTTACCATTTACATCGACATAGATGGAACTGGAGGGTATGATGCTGAGTGAAAGAAGTCAGAGACAATTGTCATATGGTTTCACTCAGAAGTGGAATATAAGAAACAGTGCAGCGGATCATAGGGGACGGAGGGAAAACTGAATGGGAAGTCTTCAGAGAGGGAGAAAAACCATGAGAGACTCTTAAGTATAGGAAACAAACAGTTGCTGGAGTGGAGGTGGGTGGGGGGATGGACTAACAGGGCAATGGGCATTAAGGAGGGCATGTGATGTGATGAGCACTGGCTGTTATAGGCACCTGATTAATCATTGAACACTACATCTGAAACTAATGATGTACTGTATGTTGAGTAATTGAATTTAAATAAAAAATAATATGTAACAGAAAAGTAAACTATGTGGCATAATATATAATTTCAAGTAAACATTTTTATTTTTAAGAAAATGAAGAAAAGGTCTTTGTGACTGGTAGGTAGATTTATTAGGACACTAAAATTTCCTAGAAGACAAGAGCATGATAGTCTTGATCATTATTGAAGCTGTTTAAGGTACATGGGAGGTTTTTAAAAAAAAAAAAGTATAGCCCAGACCCCTTCAGAAAGTGTGTCTCTGAAACAGAAGCAGATCAGGTGGGTTAAGATTGGACCTAGCTGACTTCAAGACTTACTTTAAAGCTATAGTAGTAGAGATACTGTAGTGTTGGCATAGAGACTGACCGATGGAACAGAATAGAGAATCAAGAAACAGATTCACAGAAGCAGAAATCCAAACTGACCACAAACTATTTGAAAGGATTCTCAACCTATTAGCAACATGGGACATTCGGATTAAAACAGTAAGCTACCATATCAGACAGGTCAGAATGAGAGTGGCAATACTGTTGGTTGTGAAGACACACATTGCCCGTCTCCTCTGGAAGGTGTATAAACTCATACCATCACTGTGGAGACCAATTTAGCCATTCCAGGTCGAACATCTCATTACCTAGTTACATTCCTCTTCTAGTTAAATCCCTCAGATCAATGCTTTTCAAAGTGGGTCCTCACCCCCTGGGTAATGAATTTCAACCATTTTCTTCTTTTAATGAGGTAGAATATAATATTATTACTAAAATGAGTTCATCTCCTGTAAAAAGGGTAAATTGTATTTCATGAACCTTTTGTTTTAGATACATAAACATATGTAAATATGTATGTACAGGATCTCCATGATTTCTTACTAATTTCATCCTCAGGGTAGAGAAGGATTTAGGATATAAAGAGCACACACCATAAAGGAAAGGATTAAGGTCTTGGTTTGAAAACTATTGCCTAAAGTTTCTTTCCCACAAGTGCACAAGAAAATATATATAAGAATGTTTATTTTAGCATTGTTTGTAATAGAGAAAAATTGGAAATCTCACTGTCCACCATAAAAGAATGGATAAATGAATTGTGGCATATGTAAATAGCAGAATACTGTATAAACATTGAAAATCAATGAACTAGAGCTATAGCTCTAGTTTCCCTATTGAGAATCTAGGCTTTTTGGGTACTGTATCAAAAACAGTTTGCAGAAGGATGCATACAATATGACACCATTTATATAGTAGACTGAAAACTTGCAAAACTTTCCTCTTTTGTTGCAGAGGAATGAAAAACAGCGCCTTCAGGATAATAGTTACTTCAGGGAGAAGGGAAGAGGGCAGCTGACAAGGTGCACAAGAGGTTTCAACTAAATTTGTGATACTTTATATTAAAATCTTTAAAGCAAAAACTTAACATTTTATACAGCTGAGTGTTGAGCACAGTATTACAAACACCTGTGTTTGTTTCTCTACATTTGAAATGTTTTGTAATAAAAAGTATTTAAGCAAGGTTAGGGAAGAAGATTGATAAATGAAATCCAGAGATCATTCAAAAACCAATTTCACCATCACTTAAATATACTCGTGGTTTAACTGTATTTGAAATCATGTGACTGTTGCTTATCTTTTTTTTCTGGAAAGCATCTTAAATATATGCTTTTCAAAGCTGTTTTCTTTGCTCATAACAGACATATTGTGGACTTTTGCCCACAGGTTCAGATCTGAAGTTGCTGCCTTGTACCAGCAAGGCTATCATGCCATTCTGCCTGCATCTAATGCTGGCTTGCTTTAAGGTAAGCTGAGAGCAGGGGCGCCTGGGTGGCTCAGTTGGTTAAGCGACTGCCTTCGGCTCAGGTCATGATCCTGGAGTCCCAGGATCGAGTCCCACATCAGGCTTCCTGCTCAGCAGGGAGTCTGCTTCTCCCTCTGACCCTCTTCCCTCTCGTGCTTTCTATCTCTCATTCTCTCTCTCAAATAAATAAATAAAATCTTTAAAAAAAAAAAAAAGGTAAGCTGAGAGCCGATTAGCATGAATGCAGTTTAATTTGGAACACTGTTCTGATGATCTGGAGTGACTTGGTGTTGTGGGGAGAGCACATGGGCTAGCGATGAACAAATACCAACTATGGACTGCACTAGGCACAAATGAGTAGGAAATGATCCCCATCCTTGAGCAGTTTACAAATAAGCATGGGACAGTTATCCAAATAACCTGCCCATAGAGATGGTCAGTAAATATTTTATGAATTAACGTATGTCAGAATATATTAGCTAGAAGAAGAGATTACAAATGCCCTTGTGTTCATAGAGGGATGGCAAGTTTGTTATCCTAAAGATGGGGGGGCGGGGGTGAAAGCATTTCAGGCTTTAGGATGAAGACCAGCAGAGCTGGGAAGGTTTACAGGCTGTTGGAAGAACGCCAGGCCCTTGGCTGCAGGTGGAGCAGAGCCTTAGTGTGCATTTCACCCAGGTTTGTGAGCAAGAGAACAGCAGTACTGGGTCTCTTGTTTTAGGGCTGTAATTCCCAGACTTCACTCATTGCCAGAATCCCTTGGGGCAACACAAACAATTTAAAAGTGTGATTTGGGGCCTAGCTGCTCATTTAGTCCTTGGGCCGGTTATGCGTTTCACACTGCCACTTCCTTCCTTGTTGCTCGCTGCCTTTCTGCTCCCCAGTCCACGTTCTCCTCCAGCCCTTCTTTCCTACCCGCCTTCTGGCCCACTCGCTACCCGCAACTGCCCCCTTCAAAGAAATCCCCAACTTCTCTCTGCCCTACAGAACTACTCAGCTTCTCTCGCCCTTTTCCCAAAGTCGAGCTTCAGGCCTGCCAGGTGTGTCCCGCTCCCATCAGGATGCTCAGTGACCTTGTTCCCAGCACGAGGGAAGCCAGGCTTCTGTGGTTGGGACCCACCCCCTCAGAAGGCAGTTTTGTTTGCATGGGGCAGGTGTGTGTTCTGCTTTGTTCCCTAGATCACATATTTTCATATAGCGGCATTTTTTCAGGAAGTGCTATTTGGTATATTTAAGATCACTCCATGATTTCCTTTTCCTTCCAAGTCTGCACAAATCCTTGTCTTGCAGCTCCGAGCTTTCGCGGACAGCAGGGATGACATGGCGCTGGGCCACGTGATTGTCTTGCTTCAGCAAGAGTGGCCACGGGGAGAGAATCTTTTCTTGAAAGCTGTCAGTAAGATTTGCCAACAAGGAAATTTCCAATACGAGAATTTTTTCAACTATGTTACAAGTATCCTTTTTCCTGTGTGAGCATAAGAAATTCTGACTTTTTTTTTTTTTTTTTTTTTTAGAATAAATTCATGGTACAAGAGTGAATGAATCATTCCAGGTAGAAATACTGGTTTTCACTATTTTGGGGGAAGAGAGGAAGAATGACTAAAAATGGGCCTGTGGCAGTTGGTCTCAATGAGAGTCCTAAAAGGCTTCACAGAGGTGATGCACGGAATCAGGAATACCAGTCAGCTCAACTCCACTTTCCACCTCCAGCGACTTCTAGGCAGGTACCCAAGATGCCTACATTAATAGCCTTCAGGTTCCTGAGAGGCCCAGAGCGGCTGGTGAGGCCAGAGAATAGAGTAGTTCATGGGCCTTCATCTCTCAGCACAGGGCCTCGTGGGACCTCTCCTGGGGGCACTGGCTGTCCCCCGGGGTCAGCCGTTAGAGCACCGTGTCACAGCCGTTACAACTGCCACTGAGAACCCACCACCTGTGTGGCCCACCCCAGCAGCTGCTTTCGGCCATAGGGAGTGTCGTGTTTCATACGGTTAGGGAAAGACCACCTTCGAGTTGTGAGGGACGTACTGTCCTTGTCCAAGCACCGTTTCCAGGGATCTAGCACCCCCACTGCCTCTTTCATTTCTTATTAAGAAAAAAGATTTTGCTGTTACGGTCGTATAGAATCTGTTTAATTAGCATCTGTAGGAGAAACATTTATCTTTACAAGGTGGTCTGGTTGGTACAAGAATTGTCAGTTTGGGAATCAGACCAGCCTGGGTTCCAGTACTGACTCTGGTTAGCGGGGTGGCCTTGGGCAAGTCATTCGGTCACTGCCAGCCCGGTCCTCCTCCGAGAGAGCAGGGCACCTTGTTTCTGCACGTGGTTAACCTGAATCTGGCCTGCAGATATCGATATGCTGGAGGAATTTGCCTACTTAAGAACTCAGGAAGGTGGGAAAATTCATCTGGAATTACTGCCCAATCAAGGAATGCTGATCAAGTAAGTATGCTGTCTTGCTCTCCCATGCTAAGCGCTCACCTTTTCATGTGCTTGTAGGAAATATTTGTAAGTTTCTGTAGTTTTGAGAAGTTTCACAGAAAGGAATCCAAACCTGGTCTCTGTTTTGGAGAGTAGATTTGATTCTGGGTACCTTTTGAAATTTGGTGTTTCCTTAACTACATTTCTGATAAAGCATTGTTTAAATTAAATTTCTGTCACTTTTGAAGGCTTTTCACTAAACGGAAGTCTCATTCATGATATCTTTTCCTTTCCAAAATTTACAGGCGAATCCTATAAACTTTTGGTGAGATATAAATGTTTTTAATTAGGAAAGAGCTATGCTTAATTAAAGTTGTAATGGATGAGGAAAAGCTACACACTTTATTTATAAACTGTACTTGGATTTCAGTATTTATTTGAGGCCTTCCCAAGCAATCATTGCTTGCACAATACAAGGGAAACTAGCTGGGTCTAGTGCCTCTTAAGAAAAACACCCCTGCCCAAGAAATAGTGGTGGGGTGCCTGCTCTCGGGCAGTGCCCTCTCACACCTAGATGAAGTTAGTGACCATTTATGATTTTTAAATAGCTCATAAATCTTGCTTCTATCCTTCAGTACTCATTGTAGTTTGGATAATAGCTCCTCTGTGCTGTTAATGCCACGTGTAGCTTTATTTTCATACTCCGTCCTTCGCATCCTGCAGATTCAGCATGGCCGTGAGTCAGTGTTAGAGTCACTGCAAGAGACGGAGCCCCAAGTGAGAAGGGAGCGGTGCTAAGGCTGAAAACCTTGTCCTTTTTCTCTCAATTGCGAAATGAATGAGTTTTCAGTTGTTGAGAGCGAAAATCCACACCTCCTTCTGTCTTTATAGAGCCTTAGAAATGTTGAGAGGGAAGCTTGAGATGTGCATTGTGGATATGTATAATCGCAAACATTACTTCTATTGAGAAGAGGGTCTTATGGAATCCATTCTAAAGAATGGGAAGATTAAGTGGGGTTTTTGTCCTTCGTCTGTAAATAGTATTAATAGATATTCTAAATGTCTAAATTACAAGACCAAGTGCTCTTTTTTGAAAACCCGAGCCCTTTGTGTGTTAGGTGGCTTAGGCAAGATGGGCTGGACACGCTCATCTTCCCATCTCCATCCCCTTCCCTAAGGCTGCAAATAAAAACTAGGGGGCAGACAATGCATGGTAAAAATATTCTTAACAGTGGTCGAGAACAAAGATGACTTGTTGATATGGGAACTTAGGTAACCCTTTTTGTGGATTTAAAAATAAAAGATTTCCAGGTTTTGAGGCTGGATATATAAAACATACCTAATATTAATAGCTTTTTAGTTAATTCACATTAATGCTTACTGTACAAATTATAATATAGGCATCAGCTACATTTGCTTAAGATTAAGCTTATAGATGATATCTCACTTCAGATAGTGCTTAACTGTGGAAATATGAGTGAATGGACTGTTAGAAAATCAACAGTTGGATCTCGAACTTCATTATACTGAACCTTTCTTCTGTAGCCAGTTTGTATCGAGCCGAACAGTGACATGGTTTCATGCAGACAACCCCTAGGACAAGGAATGAAAGCAGGCTCTCTTGGACACCAAGATAATATCACTGTAAAGAGTTGTTTAGGGCAAGGCAGGGATGCACAGCATGCATTTCTAGGCTTTGGAGAGAATTCCAGGCTCTTCCACCTTGGTTAGTATAAACTTTAATGTCTTAGAAGACGATTAAGCCTCTTAGGAAACCTGCTGTTCTGTCTGTTTGGAAGCAAGAATAGGGATTGTTACTTAGGGAGCTGACCTTCTAGAAATTTGCCCAGTCTTCACCGTGCGAGTCTCAAAGTTCATTTGAAGCCTGCATTTCAGATTACTTATGCATAACCAGCCGGAGAAGCAAGCTGCATAGAGCCAGAGAGCTCTTACTAAGGGGGTAGGACTAGAATCTTGAGTAAAACTATCTATATTCCTTTTCCCTTTGGGTTCCAAACAAATTCTCTGACACCATCGCAGACCTTTTGGGCGATGCCTCCAGCCGAGTGGCAGAGGTGTCATGAGCAGTGCACATGCCCTCCCCTTGGGTAAGGTTGTGAGTCCGTCCTGGTCTGCTCGGATGCTAGCGGGTCCCAACCTGAGGGCACCCGGGGCCTGACCAACAGAACAAAGACGCTTTGTCCTTACGCATTTTTAAATAGAGAACTATTTCTTTGCCGATATTTGCAGTACCATAGTTGAATTAGACTGGGTGAAAATGGAAAAACTGTGTCCTGTGCACTAAATCTTTGTTTCGAATTCTGTTAAAGCCATGGGTCCCAGACTTCTTCCCTCGCCCCGCCCCACATCTGTTCCTTTTCTCAATACTTTTTGAAATTCAAGCTCAACCTTTCTTGATCAAAAACATTGCCAGCCCCTCTAGTCGTCCCAGAAGGGCCTCTTCTGTTCGGGGCTTCAATCCTGGCAAAGATGGTTATCAAAAGCCCCCGAGTTTATCTCTGGGATTGGCGGGGGCATGAGCAGAATGGAGAGTGAAGGAGGCTGGATTCAAAAATGTGTCTTCTCAAGCGTGACCCCCTCTCCGCACTGCCGTTCAGTTGCGTCTCGTCGTCCTCTTCCTTGGTGGTTGCTTTTACACCAAATCTCGAGTGGGCCTGAGCTCGGGGCCCAGGAACGAGATGCTCTGGACGTGCCCCCACAGCAGGTGCAGGGAGAGGACTGCTAGCTTCTCCCGTCCTCCTGAAGGACACCGCTGAGGCCGGGGGCCCGTGGAGGTTCAAGGGTTTCTGCATAGTCTGTTCCAGTCTCGTGCATTTTCTCTGGCGTGTTGTTTTTGCAGTGCAGGGTGAGTCGGTGTGGGTGTTTGAATGCTGCTGTTTGCTGTTTTTTAAAGGCCTTCTAGCCCTCCCATGGGGTTACTGCAGCAGGAATTCTTACCTGTGCTTCAGCCCAGCATACAGACTGCTGACAGGTACCACGTGGAAAAACACCTGCTCATAGTGTGCCGTTTTGTCAACATGTCGTACTGCCCATGGTTTCCAGCTCTCTGTTCCTCAGTGCTCTTTTTCATGCTTTATTTATTTTTTTAATTTGTTCCGCATTCCTTGGCAAACCATCTGGTTGTAATATTGTAACATTTCTTATTTTTTTTCCATAAGTTGCCAATGTTTTTGTGTTCGATTTAAAAATCATTATGGATCTGGAAAAAAAAAGTTATATAAAACTGTGTTAGATTAAGCACACATTAGGTTAGGCTCTAGACTGTGATTCTCTTTTGATAAAACATAAGGCATTCAGTCATAAATATTTAAGGATGCTGGAGCTCATTTTAAGTAAATTTTTGTTCGTGGATTGTCGTATTAGTGAGCAGTGTCGATGTTCTGGTCTAACCGGGCCTTAGTACAGCATTTACTGATTTTTCAGACCTTCCCTTTCTAAACTGAAAATACTTGGTATGCTGCATTTATTAGCTGATTTCTCCTGTCCTTAACCACACAAGCTAACTAATGCTCTTCTTCATCCAAACTCACCAGAGGGATAGAGACTGATAGAAATATAATGGAATTGTACTGCTTTATCTGTAGAAACAATACCATTGAACCATGATCAGCAGGACACGACATTTTATTATATTTTTACTAGCACAAAGGGAAAAGTTTGCTTTGAGCTTTCAAAGCCCTTTAGCTCGTTGTCTGCAAATACCAGTAATTCTCATTTGCTCAAGGGTTGGCTCGCATCAGGGGTTGCAGTCTGGGTCCCAGAAGAACAGGATCTCGGGACGGCTCCAGTGGGTCCACGCCTATTCCCAGTGGGCCTCATGGGCTCAGCCTCCCTGACCCCATGTCCTTATTACTGAGTTAACCAGCCGACTTCACTAGGAACGTCCCCAAAGAACTGTGTTTTCTCCCTGGCACTGCTGCCATTTGCGTAGTTCTTCCGAATGCCCGCGGGCATTGTAGACTGTCGTGTAGGTAGTATCTTTACTAGTCTGACAGAGCCGAGTTTTGTTTTTTCTTCTGTTGCATTGCAACTTTTTGACTTCTGCTGTACTGTTTTATATGACAATACACAAGTTAAAAAAAAAAACGAACATTTTAGAGTGGTTTCGACAGTTTTGTTTTGGCCAATACATAAGAATCTAATTTTAAATCCCTGCTACTGTGTCTGAGGGAAGTTAGGCAGTCGAGGTGGGGAATGGAGGTGCCTTCTATTGGTCTAATCTACTAAACTACTGACCCGGTAGTTGAAACTCCTTTCCTTTTAACAACCCGTTGAGTTTTGCTAGATTTTTCTTTTCCTTTCTTCATTTTGACATCTTAAGTTTTCTGGGATTTCCTTTGTGAACTCCTTCTCCACAGCACAGCTTTCGGGCGTAGCTAGAACTTTTCCTGTGCTCCACTGACCCTTCCACAGACGTGCATGTCTCCTGAGCACGTGGACCACATCTGGTCCCCAGTAGGCTTTTGCAGGGCACTGGCTGTTCTTCAGTGAGTCAGCTTCTCTCTCCCCACCCCTGCCAGACTCTTGTCTTGGGACCTCCAACTCCTCCTGCTGCTTCTCAGACAGACGTGAGTCTGGATGGGCTCAGCATTTAGCAGAGCTGTCCTGTTCTGGCATCACCGGAGAGCAACGCACTTGGAACCCCAGTGGCCGAGCACAAGCCCCAGGTCTTTCTGAGCCTCATCACAGAGCCCCAGGCCCCAGCTTAGTGTGGTGACCGGCTCATTCTGGCTTCCCTCCTCCCTGCTGCTGCCTCTGCACTCGGCTGCCTTGTCCACACATGAACTGTGGGGCCGTGTGGACTGGGCCCAGTTGACCCAAAGTGACAGAACCGTGCACAGGTCAGCAGAGGGATGCATAGTGTCAGAGCTGCAAGAGTCCAGAAGCAATTTTACCAGACGTTTAGATGTTTAAAATAGCCTTTTACCGAGTGGGAAACATGTCTCTAGTTTTATGTCTTTCTGAGAAGGAACGGGTAGGGGGATTGTTTGGGTAGCGCTTTTCTTCCTTTTTGAATTTTTTTTACTTAGATTTCAGTCAGGTTTTACTCCTGCCCCAGAAACACTGACCAGTGATGCCAGCGCTAACTATGGTGTCCATCTGTTTCCCTGTCCCTGCCCTCAGGCACCACACGGTCACTCGGGGCATCACCAAGGGCGTGAAGGAGGACTTCCGCCTGGCCATGGAGCGCCAGGTGTCCCGCTGTGGCGAGAACTTGATGGTTGTGCTGCACAGGTTCTGCATCAATGAGAAGATCTTGCTCCTTCAGACTCTGGCCTGACCGGAGCCCTTTCCGCCAGAGGAAAGGCAGCTCCGAGCCGTGGCATTTTTTGTGAAGACATAAAGCATTATTCATAAATGTTGCCATTACAACTCTTAGAAAGAAGAAAACCTTCTGAATTCCAGCTCCTTGGTTGCTTAAAAGTAGTTCCCAAGAGTCTGAGACGCTATTTCTATTTTTCAGAGTCATTTTTTGTAATTTTTGTAAAACAAAAGAACCTCTTTTGTAAATAAAAATCATCCTAAGTTTGGGGCTTTTAAAAATGTATTTCAATTCTTGGTGAGTTTCTGAACAAGAGTGTGCTTTACTTAAATGAATATTATTCATGATCTCAAGGTCTTATTCATAGTTAGGCATTGGTAGGTATTACATATCAACATACTTTCAGACCTTTTCATTCAGGAAGTTTTAATACCAAAAACCTTTACGCCAGAATGAACTTGAGTGAACTTCCATTGAGGGAGCTGTGGGTGGGGGTCCGACGTGCAGCAGCCCAGGGAAGGCACCTCCTCCCTCCCGCCGAGCCCAGGTGCCCTGTGGCGTGGCTCCCAGCCCTGGCTCTGCCCGGCCTCTTACTGCCCTGTACTGAGACAGGTTAACTCCCCTGTGCCTCAGGCTCAGCCTTGAGACACAGAGATGATGGGACTTCCCTCACAGGCTGTGAAGACTAAGGTTTCCCTCATGTGACATCTGTGGAAAGGCACCTCGTGTGTCCCGCTGGGCCAGTGTTAGCTTGCGGGTTTATTTTCTTCTTTGCCTGCCCTGAAATATATCAGGTAAACATCTAACAAATGCTTGTTTCTAGGGGCTTGATTCTACTTAAGAATGGGAGGGCTAAGAAGTTAGTTACTTTGCATTAAAAGTTTTAGATCTACAGTTGACCCCTGAACAACGGGGAGAGGCATCTGGGGGCGACAGCACACCCCCCACCCACCCACTGCATAGTCAAAAATCCACCTATAACTTGATTCCCCAAAAACTTACTAATAGCCTACTGTTGACTGGAAACCTTACTGACCTGGGGTTACTCACCTTACAGTGAGACACAAAATGTTGATTAACACGCATTTTGTATGTTATATGATTTATATACTATATTCTTAAAGTAAGCTAGAGAAAAAATGTTAAGAAAATCATAAAAATACACTTATAGTACCGTACTGTAAAAAATCTGTGTATAAATGGACCCATTTTCAAACCTGTGTTGTTCAAGGGTCAACTGTATTAAAATCAATAAAGTGGTTTAAGTAGTAGATATCTGATCTCAGAAAATATTCCACCTACCTCGTTTTAAAGTGTTTATCAATTTAATATGAGTTGATTACAAATATATAAACCATCCTGTTGTTTTGATTGAGGAATGTGTCGGCCCCTGACAGCTTTCAAATTAAACACTCTCTTACCTTTTGGTTTTATACCTTCCTCAGATTAGTATTTGGGGGCAACATACATCAAAACAAGACTTTCTGATACCCAAATGTGTAGGCACCAGATAAAAAAGAACCACTCTTTTTTTTTTTTTTTTTAATTCAGAGGTGCCACTCCTGTGTGAAGAATTGCAGGGGAAATGCCATAGAATAAAATGGGAACTCAGACGGAGTTTGCAGACAAGGCAGGGCAGGGCAGGACTGCTGACCTCTGGCTCGTGAGGACCCATCCACACCTCTTGCACTGAGACATGACCAAACTCCAGCACAGCTTCTAGCAGCATGAGGCCGCGTACCCAAGATGACCCTAGACCCCCTTAAAATGCCCACCTGAGAAAGCTGCACACTCGCAGAATGTATTCGGCCAAAACATGGTGATGAGCAGATAGGTCCCTGAACCCCCTCCTAGAGTTATTTTTAGAAAGCTGGCAATTATAAATCCTTCTGCTGCCCTTTGAGTTGTGAAACTACCACCGGAAACCATCTCCATAAGGACCCAAGATGTCTCCAAAACATAAATATCCAGGAGGAGAAAGGCCTAGTTCAGGTGGGCACCTCGCTCCAACATTCCCCACCACCTCCCATCATAAAGATAGGGGGAGAAGCTCCAACTCTCAAATCCACATGGCCTTGTCACACAGACCAACCCCATCACACCCCTCGCTGCCTTTCCCTTACAACCCCAGCCTTTAAACAGTTTCCAGCCTTTTTTTCCAGGGAACTGGGCTTAGTCATTGACCCCCCAGTGCAGTCAAGTCTGCCCTCACCCCTTCATTAAAATGGCTTTGTTTCTCTTTGACACAGGTCAGGCATCACCTGGAATTAAACTGACTCCTGGGCAGAACTGTGTCACAGGCAGGATTTGGCTACATGGAGGTACAGGTCTACAAGCTAAATGACACTTGGAGTTTAATATTAGCAGGAAAACTATCCTGTGTCGAAATAAAAGTGCATGACTACAAGTAATCAAGGACAAGAACAAACAGCCATAAAAGGTGGGAAAACCAAAGACCTGATTTTCTGTCCAGCTCTAGTAGTCCGGACAGAATTCCACCAGAACCCGAAATGGTAATGGACACTGTGGGAAGCCACGCGCTCCACCCTGCAGGGAGCAAGGCCAGCTAGCTGTCCGCACAGCTAGCACTTTGGATGGAATTCTGGAGAGGAAAGCCAGCAAGATAATGGCATCTTTTTGTCAATGGCAGTGTTCTGACATACAAAATTAGATAAAGGGTTTATGAGGTCTGAGGCACTTTACGATATAAGGCAAACATCTAGCATTTCTATCAACTTTGAATTGGAAATGCATGTAGCCTAAAAAAAACAAAAAACACCCATGTTTTCAAAACTAATGCCCAACAAATACTGATTACCAAGAGAAAAATGTTGGCTACACTACACTCTGGTGAAAACAGATTACACAGATATGCAACTAAAGACAAACACTAGCAGTGTGTTTTCCCACCTCATTTCAAAGCTCCAACAAAGGGAGTGTTAAAAATCTCAAAAGCTGAAATTATGCCAGAAGCTGCATTGTCAATAGGGTCATGGATCCTACCGTGTAGTGCCTAGTGTTTTTAAAGACCTACCCTTAATTTTTTACAATTGATAGAGATCTCTTCCTGAAAAGCAGTTTGATATGTTGAGAAGCTTTCTCAAAAGTCCATTTGTCTCCCCCATTTATTTGCGAAACAGTTATATTGAAGGAAAAATAAAAACTATTATGTTGGAATTTCATTTAAGCTGACACCCTTTAATACATCCTGGATTATCGCACATTTATAAAAGATGCCCTTTATTGGCCAGAGTGAAAAGACAAAAAGTATAAGAGCAACAATTTATTCACTTAATTATAAATATAAATATATAAATAAATGGAAGTACAAAAAAATGAATAAACAACATCCAAGTACTACATCCCTACTCTAGAACAGTATTTTGGGCTTTATTACTTGATTACTTTAAGAATTCGACCCAGGGGCGCCTGGGTGGCTCAGTTGTTAAGCGTAGCATCTGCCTTGGGCTCAGGTCATGGTCCCAGGGTCCTGGGATCGAGTCCCACATCGGGCTCCCTGCTCGGCAGGAAGCCTGCTTCTCCCTCTCCCACTCCCCCTGCTTGTGTTCCTGCTCTCGCTATCTCTGTCTCTGTCAAATAAATAAATAAAATCTTTAAAAAAAAAACAAAACAAAACTCGACCCCGACTTCCCTGTAAGACACTCTCCTGACTGTGCCACTCACTCAGGCACACTCGTCCCCTGCCAAAGCAGGTCGTCCATGTAGCCATGCTGTGGGCTCATCAGTCCACAGTCCCTTGTCACAGCTGGTTTCACGAGTCAGATGAGAGGCTCGTAGCCAGTGAGACACAAGGAGGTGGCTGCTGAGAGGCTTCTGGGGAGGGTTTTCAGTCTAACGAAGTGATGAGATGCACAAAAGGAGATGCCCTGTCCTTTGGGTGGGTGTCACGGTCCCTGAGTATGTGTGGCTGTCATGGTGCGCTGGCCTCACAGGCAAGTGAGCTGGAGCCAGCCCACCTCAGGCCTTCTTGTATGAGCCAAGTTTTCCTTAAAACCCAGCTGAATCAGGATTTCCTTGTCCCTACCGTTCAATACACCCTGATATATATTCCCCTATTCAAGAAATGCTTCTGGAGGAGCCCCTAGGTGGCTCAGTAGGTTAGGCTTCCGCCTTCGGCTCAGGTCATGATCTCAGGGTCCTGTTATTGAGCCCCAAATTGGGCTCCCTGCTCAATGGGGAGCCTGCTGCTCCCCCTGCTTGCGCTCTCTTGCGCTCTCTGTCATAAAAAAGAAAAAGAGAGAAATGCTTCTGGATAACTCATCCAGAGAGACCCAACTCAGCCTGACTTGCCAGGACTTGGGATGACACAGTGTGACCATCCACGATGACTCACTGCAAGAGAAGGGGGCAGCAGGTTTCCTCACCAACTGTCCCCTTACACATTAACAAAAGGAACATTTTCATGGGGCACTCAGGACACAGTAATTTTATCAGCACTTAAATATTAAAAACAAAAACCACCATTGCTTTGCTTTGATAAATGTTTATTTAGCGCCTAAGTACGAGGCACTGTGTGCGCACCATGAGTCATATACAGATGAACAAGACATAATTCTTGCCTTTAACAAGCCGACCGTCTAGTGCGGGAAATGAGACAGGTACACAAGTGTAACTATGATACCAGGCAGAAAGCGGTAAAACGCCATGAGTAAGGTACTTTGAGAGGAAGAAAATACTACTTTTGGATGAGAATACGAGATTAGAGAAGGTGTTTCAGAAGTAGTGGGTCTAAAGGTCAAGTGTACCCAGGGGAAAATTAAGGGGAAAAAGCAAAGCAGGAAGACTCCAAAGTCAGAAGCAGGAGGTGCTAAGTGCTGGGCGGGGAGGAGCCTGGCTGGCTGGCGGAGGCGGGGCCCGGGGTGCGGGCTTGGGGGCGGGGCGCGGGCGGGGCGCGGGCGGGTCAGGCAGCCGGAAGACGTGTCCCGCGTCCCCGAGGGTGGTTGTATATACTATACACACGTCAGGCAAAGCGGTTCCAACTTCGAGGGAAGATTTTGTATGGAGGGGGTCTTACCCGAGCTCTTGCTGCATAAAGCTTAACCTGGAGGCGACGGATAGTGACTTGACAGAGGAAGGACTGAGGGACGGAGGCCCGGACTAGAGCGACAAGGCAGCGGCAGCGAGAAGACAGGAGTTTCAGGTGGAAGACCCGGGAATGGCGGAGCATGGAAAAGGGGGCATAGAGGAGGTAAGGTGAGTGAAAAGTGACGGAGTTTCACAGTTAGAGCCAGAGGAAGAGCCATTCATGGAGCTAGGAAAATGCAGAGGGAAAGTGTGAATTTGGGCAGAGAGGCGGGAAGACGGGGTGCTGGCGTGCCGGCGGGCGTGCGGGCGGAGGGTCCCGCGGGCAGTGACGAGTGGGGCTGAGGGTTCGGGGCAGAGGTCCACACAGGCCAGAGAGTCGTCCGTGCTGTGGTGACGGCTGAAGCCACGTGGAGGTGGCCCCGTCTCACCGCGGAAGGGTGGGCTGACAACCTATTCCGCCTGTTCCTCCGGACAGAATTCTCACAGAAAATTCGTTAAGCATGATGATGCATCATATGAAAAGTGCTGTTTCTCTCTGCGTGGTCTCCTGTCTTCACTCCTGAGAAACTACTTCTTCAGTTTTGTGATGCCCACAGGAAAGTGCCTCCACCGTGGAGGGCCACTCTGAAAAGATTCACTCCAATGAGAGGTGGGGGTTTTTAACCTTTTCATTATCATTTATCTTGAAGAGTTTTCTGTAATAAAATTATTTTCCTAAGGATTTCAGAAAAGCTCTTGATGTATCCCACCTCAATGAGCCTAAGAGCTGGAAGGCACCAGAGAGACATCACTATCTCCCTCATTTCACAGATGAGGGAACCGAGGCCCAGCGAGGCCACGGGACTGGCAGACATCTCACACGGCAAGGATAGCAAAGCTGGCGCCACAAGCAAGACTGTGCTCTTCTCTGCCACACTATAGCCCCGGGTGCCAGCCACCATCTAGACACACAGTGAGAAAGACGAGTGGGGACACAGCCGAACAGGTACGTGAGTATTGTAACTATAAGCAAGAGTGGCTGGGAATAACACATCTATATTTTAACATCTTTTCCAAGTGGGGAAAAGGAGAGAATGCCTGCCAATAGAAAGGCATTTTTGGACCCACCAACGCTTTGCAGATCTGAAAAGGAAATTACTCTTTCTTGAAATATTATACTGCACTTAGCCACAAAAAATATTAGGCTGCATCGCTACACATCCCATTTGATCAGCCACAACAGAAATGATGGTCTTCTTGGTTGGCATGTGTGCACTTGGAAAGGCAGTCTACAGGAAAACAAGATCAATAAAAATTAGACTTTAGGTTGTTTTATCCGTCACACAAGGAAAATGCCCATGGCAGTTTCCTTTTGAAGAGTTAAATGAGAAATCCTTAAAATGAAGTTCTAAATATATCGATTTACAGATGGAGAAAAAAGACAATTATATTCCATACATCTAAGTCTCAAATACACAGAGTTCTGATGAACAGCCGCGTCATAGTACACCAGCCAGAGCACATCAGCATGTTCCCCAATCATCAGGAAATACACATCCTACTGATTTTATAATTCACGGTTCCCTTTAATAAAGGCTGCTTCAACACTCCCCCCAGGCCCACTAGAGTCTGCCAGCAACACATTTCAGCTGGAGCTGTCAGATTTTCCAAAACACCTTCTTTTTATAGAGAATGTAGGCAATGAGCACCCAAACAGCAGTGGCAACTATGTTCTGAGTTAGATGTTCTTTGTGTGACTGGTTGTCCTGCAGCTTCCACTGAAAGGGGAAGTAGTTCTCAAACACCTCGTGGCCAACGTACACCAGAATAGAGTTCATTCCTGGAGGAGAGATACAGAAAATAATATTTTCCTGAGTCACATTTGATCTATTTAATTCTTGAAATTTGACTTTAGTCCAATGAAAAATAACAAAAAGCACACACATTATTGGCTACTGCCCAAAATAAGTAATGCGTATCTTAAATACTTAAGTATAAGCTAGATCAAAAATCAGAAAATATTTATAATGATGTAATTCTTGATTAGTAAATCTACAAGGAGAGCCAAAATCATGAACTTATCTTTTCTAGACCAGAAATTTGAGGTCAGAAAAATGTAACTGTCACTAGAACTGGAGGGCTGAAGTGAGTCACTGAAATGACTGGGTCTAGGGCGCGCCTAAGTGGCTCAGTCGGTTAAGCATCCGACTCTTGGTTTTGGCTCAGGTCATGATCACAAGGTCCTGGGATCTGGCCCCGAGGTGGGATCTATGCTCAGTGTGGAGTCTGCTTGAGATTTCCTCTCTCAGTCTCTCTCTCTCTCTCTCCTTCTGCCCCTCCCCACCCTGCGTGTACATGCTCTCTCTCTCTCTCTTAAATAAATAATCTTTCAAATCAACTCTGAGCTTAGAGGTTTGTTTACCTGGGTAGAAGAATGGGGTTCCCGTCCACAGTCCCTTCACATCTACGATGGGGTACAGGATAAGCAGGATGAAGAAGGCAAAGGAGCTCAGTGTGGTGACATACGAAATGGACCTACAAGGCGAATGAGGTGTTTCAGGGCTCCTGAGGAGTATATCCAGCATCAGCAACATCGACCCAACATTAAAATTACTCTGTTTTCTGTACCTACCACAGATTTTTGTTTATTGGAATAAAGCCTTCATTTTCGGAAATTTTCGTCAAAGCAACAGAAATAAGCCCCTACAAAAGGGGGAGAAGGATATTAGTTTTTTTTATATTATCTCAAAAAACAACTGTGTTTCAAAACTGGAAAATATGTTATTTAATTACTTAGGGAGGGCTGAAAATTGTGTCTTATATTTTATTCTTTTAACTGGAAAACTATTTTCAAGATGCATAATTAAAAATATTCTCCAAAATAAAACTCTCCAAAGCATTCTCTTGAGTCGAAGGTAAACTAGTAAATAAATTAGAGAGGAAACGTGAGGGATAAAATGAACAGCCCAACTTTCAACTCTCCGTCACCAGGAAATCTGGAAGCGGACTTCCGAAAGCTGTTACCCTGCTCTTCCTGGCCTGGCTCCCCACCGGGACCCACACTATTTCATCACATTCCGGCTGGCCGTTAGGCGGCAAACACTCTTACTTATAAAGACATTTGCCTAAGAAAATAAACCTGAGAGTTCAGGTGTGAAGATGTGTTCCTCTCCTCCGCTGTTCTGGTGGAGAATGTAACTCCTGTGCTGTGGTCACAGCTGCTGTCCAGTGCTGCTGAGCGTTTTCTTTCTTTGAAACATGTATGGACGGGATTTTACCAGTTACTTACTAGAAAACAACACCAGGCAGTGAATCTGATCAGAATGTCTTTGGTCTGATCCTTGTAATACAAGAGTATTTTTCCTGCCTGGAGAAGAAAACACAGATTGACAAAGAGAACTGCTTAAAGTATATTCGCGTTTCGTGTTCATCCACTGTCCTAATCACTCAACAGACAGACTCATCTGCCAGGCAAGCTGCTAGATGCGGGGATTACCGAGAGGAATGGAACGTCACCCCTGCCCTTGACGGCTGGCCATCCTAGGGAGGATGGGAGGAGACGCCAGGGAGGAAGTGCCGTCCGGCTGAGGCTACGGGCAGGAAGGGCATCCTGGGCAGAATGGAACAGCATGCACAGAAACAGGTCAAATGGCTAAAAGACCATGCATCCCTGAGCTGCAGGTCAGTGAGACAGGCTAAAGGGTTGGGAAGGGCAGGAAGGTGGGAGGCAGGTAGGTTTGTGGGTCTCACTGGTGAGGCATGGGCTTTCTCCTGTGCGTGAGAAGGAGCTGAGGAAAGTCACTTCTCCCCCACCCCAAAAAAGCAGTAAGAAGGGACCAGCTCAGACTGGCCTGCTGGACGGCCCGGTCTGGCAGCAGTACAGAAGAGGGACCGGGACAGGGTGGTACTAGGGGCAGAAACAGAAACAGTACAATCTGGACTTTGCCTAAAATCCCTTGAAATTAGCAATTAATTTCTGAAAAACATCAAAGAATAAGAAAATGTTCATAATAATTTCTAACTAAAGCTAAAATTTATGAATGTTTTCTATGTGCCAGTTCTTAGAATTTTACATGAATTAACTCATTCGATCCTCTCCACACCTTCCTGAAGTAGTTGCTATCAGAGCACAGAGGGATAAACATGCCCGAGGCTACCTAGCTGGAACGTGGTAGAGCAGGGTTCAAGCCCATCCTGTGTGGCCTCAGGTCTGCACTCCTAACCCTACCCCAGGCTGCTCTTGTGGCGCAGATTCACCCCTGCAGATCTGCAGATGCAGGGATTAAATGAATATATGTGAAAGCACCCACTGTGAACTATAAGGTGCTACAGAGGTGAGTATAGAACAGTATTTCTAAATCTGAATCGCCAAAACTTACATGCCTTAGACCTGCACTACCCAATATGGCAGCCACTAGCCACCAGAGACTATTTGAAATTAAATTTAAAATTTCATTCCTTGGTCATACTAGCCACATTTCAAGTACTCAAAAGCCACATGAACATGAATATTTTCATCAGAGCCTTCCATCAGCTGCTTTACATGCTTTTCCCTCCCCCCAATTAGCTCTGCTCAAATAGTAGTTTCAAACACCAATAAGGAGAACTTTAGGGGGGGAAAAAAATCTAGACTGCTCAGAATTTTAACAAATTTGCATGTGAGATAAACCAAGAACAACCTGTATTGACTTTGGCATACAATATGCATAACCTGAAACCATACAGAGTGTGCACAAAGAAATAAATGTGACAAGAGGGGACACAGGGACTTCCCAACACCACCAGTACGCAAACATTCTGCACACTCCAGCAGGGAGACCTTTTACCCAGAAACTACTCTGTCTCCATTGCTAAAATAAGCCATATAAACAAGGAGAATTGGGGGGGGGGGGGGTAAGATATAGGAATTATACCTAATTATTTCCATGTGCTGAATTTTAGCAATTTCTAGTTCTGACAATCTGTCACATGTAACAGAATTTATTAGACCATAGAAGGTATGTTTCCAATTACTTGTTTTAATGAAATAGTTTTTGAATTAGTGATGAATGAATAATCATGAACTGTCAGAAAAATGTACACCCTAATGAAATGAACGAATACCTGAATTCCTAAAAATGCCATCACAATGGAGTTGATGGTCCCTAAAATTCCCTCTGGATCATAGGCCACCTCAGTGTGATAAAGCACCTTAACAAAACAGAAAAAGAAGGCAGAACTCACCATGAAATGCATGCAAACAATTCGGAGATCAAATACAAACCTGAATACACTCCAGAATTCAATGTTTTTCATTTTTGCTACAGAAATTCATGGACAACTTGTGGGGATTATAGGCAGAATACTTCTAATCAACAAAGTGTGGGGTGTGTGATACCAGAAGGGAACACAGAGCCCAGGGATGAGCCATGACCCAGAGCAGTCACTTCAACTTCAGGGGCCAGTGACTTGAGGCATCCCTAACCGGTTCCAACACTGCGCATAATACCTTCCTAACTGTCAGGTTTATTCCCTTTGGTCAACCCTACTGTAACATCAAAAAGCTGTTCCTGGGATGCCTGGGTGGCTCAGTCGGTTAAGTGTCTGCTTTCAGCTCAGGTCATGATATCAGGGTCCTGGGATCGAGCCCTATGTTAGGCTCCCTGCTCAGCAGGACCCTACTTCTCCCTCTCCCTCTGCCCCTCCTCCTGCTTGTGCTCTCTTGATTGCTCTCTCTCTCTTAAATAAATAAAATCTTAAAAACAAAAACAAGAAAAAAGCTGTTCCTTTCTAACTTTCTTTATGGCAAATAACATTTAAAAATATATCTGTATTATTTTGTTATAAAACAAACATTCATGTAGAAACTGCAGACATTTGGCAATGGACAGTGGTGGATCCCACAGTGCATTACTCAGATATCCCCCTGCCCACCCCTCTCAGGACAAAAGTATTCATTCCCTGAGCTGGTAGAAATATTAATGGCCAAAAGCTCTCAGCCAAGTCCCTTTTCTGGATCTGTCCTTGACTAAAGAGAGCTGCCTCTCCAGGAGTCACACTCCCCTGCTGAGGGCAGTCCGCATCCAATGGCCGGATGCCTCACTCCAATTCAGAACAACTCTAAAGCACCAGTCTACCCCCCAGGAGATGAGCTAAGGCCTTGTGTGACTACCAGCCAGTCCAGCTACCCTTTCTGCCCATTCCTGCTTCCTCTGATCCCCAGCAGGGGCTGATCCCAAAAGGACGGCCTGATAAGCTTCCTGCACACGAATCTCGGCCTCAGAGTCTGCGGCCAGGAAGTCTGACCTGAGCCATAGGGAAAAGCACGCCGCCACATGCTTGATCCACTGCATCTGCACTTTCAAATCCAAAGTAATGGAAACACACAGCCCCATAATAAACATTACACTTCCTAACTCAGTGAACTTTTCAAATAGAAATTAGTTCCCATCATAGTTTGTTAAATGGACAAAGTCTCCAGTTGGCCAGCCCTTTCTGTTTTCCTTCACTTCAGAGGTCCCACGGGTCTAGCTCAAAGTGCAAGTGAGGCTCACTCACAGCCGAAGAAGGATGCTGGTAAATGTGGTCATCACCCAGAAGCAGGCGGTCAATGTAGCCAGCAGCTCCTCCGGTACAATTTGGATACTTCCCCAAATCTCCAATGCCACCAGGGCCGAGATAACCACTGGGAAAGTGAAAACACGTACTTAATTGACAAGACTTCAGCGGGAATAAGGCTTATCCTGGCAACTGTCGCAGCCCAACAAGGAGCCTCAAACACGGAGACCCCTTGGTGCCATGCACTCCTCACCGATGCTCTTCTGACTTGACTACTCCCCACAAGCTAAGGTGGGCAGCCCAACTTCCCTTCAAACAGACCCGGAAAAAGCCTCACGGAGACATTCCTCTGGACATACACCAAACTCCTCACCCATACACACAATGCCTCAAAGGAGAAGAAAGAGTGAAACCGAGTTCCTCTCCCTCGGGAAATCTGCAAGCTCTCACCCCAGAAGCTCTGACTTGACAGAAAAGGACATGCAAAAAGGGATTACCTCCGTGGGCTCACTTACGTAGGACATCCAGGAACAGGCAAGAAGAATGTCAAGCCCAGCCAAATGCTTTCCAGCATCAGAATGAAGAGCCACTGGGGCCAGCTGAAGATGATGTCTCGAAGGGAAAAGCAGCTTCTCTCCTGAGTGAGGGGTTATAAAAAAAAAAAACATAATATGAACTACATGTAAGTAGAAGAGGAAAAAATATACAGTAAATGTATTCAGGAAATTCCTGGTGATTCTTCTGTTGGCCTTTATGGGAGTAATACAAAAATAGATGCATGTTTATTTCATATATATTATGTGGTCTACCTGCCCCTCTCCATGAAATATCATAGTAAAACATTAGTTAAAAATATATCACTGGATGGGATGCCTGGATGGCTCAGTCAGTTAAGTGTCCAACTCTTGATTTTGGCTCAGGCGAGATCAAGCCCTGCACCTGGCTCTGTGCTCAGCATGGAGTCTGCTTGGGATTCTCTCTCCCCCTCTCCCTCTGCCCCTCCCTCCACTCATGCTCACCCTCTAAATAAATAAAGAAATAAAATCTTAGGGGAAAAAAAAAAGAAAAAAGAAATCACTGGACAATTCTACTCCTATACCCAAGAGAACTGAAAACAGATGTTCACACAAAAACTTGTACACAAATATACATGGAATCTTTATTCATACTAGCCAAAGAATGGAAATAAGTCAAATGCTCATCAACTGATGAATATATCTAAAAAGTGGTACATTCATAAAATAGAGTATTATTCAGCAGTAAAAGGAATAAAGCACCAATACATGGCCCTTGAAAAATATGCTATGTGAAAGAAACCAAACAGAAAGGCACATATTGTATAATTCCATTTATATGAAACGTCAAAATAAGTAAATCTACAGAGACAGAAAGTAGATGAGGGGATGCCTGGGGCTGAGGGGGTCGTGGAGAACAGTGAGTGACTGGCAGTGAATACAGGGTTTCTTGTGGGGTAATGAAAATGTTCTAGAATTGGGTAGTGGTGATGACTGCACAACTCTGTGAATATACTAAATATCATTGAATTGCATGCTTCAAACTTGTGAGTTTTTTGGTATGTGCAATATATCTCAATAAAGGTGTCATTAAAAAAGCTAAAATACATTTTAAAACATTGGGGAGGGTATGTACTATGGTGAGCGCTGTGAATTGTGTAAGACTGATGAATCACAGACCTGTACCCCTGAATCGAACAATACGTTATATGTTAATTAAAAAAATACATTTTAAGAAAGGAAAACGAAATTTAAACTTTTGGAGCTGTCGTGACTGAAGGAAGGAGGAGTACAGCCCACCTATTCTTGGTGGCCCACCCAAACCCTCACTCCATTGTGGGGGCGGCAGACGAATTCTCCACAGATCTCAGGTCCCATGTGACTAACCAAGCCCGCATTCATGTCTAGTCTCACTTCACCTCAAGAAAACCCACAGCAGAGGGTACACATACAATGACACAGCGGACAGAGCAGGTAAATGAATAATCCAATGCACTCCAAGGACATATAACCAAGCCATCATTACAGGAAGAGCCAAGAAAATCTGGGGTTCAGTGATGAATCTGCTAGTTACATATACAGAAAGGAGCTAGAAAATAAATTCAGCAATATTAATTTATTAAGGACCCCAAGTGGAAGAATTTAAACATTTCTTCCTGAGTTTTTCTCTCTACTAGGGGGAAAAAGCTCCACCTACGTTAATTCAACAGAGCAATTTATAGTAAGATAGAAAGCAATTGTGAAAGAAGTGAGGCTCTCACATACTTCCCACAAATAAGAAATATGAAATAGCCAAGGACAGCCACAGACGATACTGTCATTTTCCTCTACCCTACCTTGGCGTTTTTCCTCCAAGTTGAATCTTCACAGCATCTATACAGATACTGAAATGTTTTGTGAGTTTTCTATATATCTTGTACTATAATGCCCCCAAAGACTGAACTAGCAATCTAGATGATTCTGATATTATTTAATGCCATCAAAAAGCATTTGATTACTGGACATTTAAAAATTTATTAAGAGGGGAGATCTCATGTTATGTGTTTTTTTCCCCATAACAGAGAAAAGGACTGGTGTAAAGACTAAAGGAAAATAACTAACTGAAGGAAAAAAGAATGTACTTGACTAACAGAGTTAAGGAGTCTACTGAGATAAAGTACTGTGCTCAGAACTAAAGAGGGTTCTGAAAATCATACAGTGATTCCCACCCACCCTCAACCCTGTGTTTAAAAGTAGATTTCTCACCGAGGCACAACTTTCAGGGACAGGTTTAGCAAAGATGAGCTCTAACACAGCAACCACAAAGTAGGTCACCCCCAGCCTCTGGAGCACGCCAGGAATTCGCACCTTATCCCAAGACACTGCAGAAGGCACAAATTAGGTGAAGTGTTAGCCAGCTTTCCTCCTCCTGCCCAAGACAACATTATTGTTTTCTAAGGGGGAAAACATACCTCCATTGCACTTAAGTTGCTTTCTAGGCTCTTGGAGATAGGCATAGGGGACTTGGCTCAAACTCCCAGCAGGAAGTGGCCAGCTGGGACACGGGGCTAAGAACACATGTGTTCCTTGGGTGTGAGGTAAAGCAAGGACTGCCTGGGCCCTGAAGTTCCTCTCCTGGCCCTTTGTCGTTCTGGGTACGGATTCAAGCAACTCTCACATCCACCCACAACTTGCCTGGCCACCCAGCACAGGCCACTAACGGGACTCTCCCTATCTTACAGGCTACATGGCTACATCACCGGAAGAGTGTGACCATGTAATGAATCCTACAATGTATTCTCCTGGGAGCAGTGGCCCACTTTTTGGAGAGGCATCAAATCAACTATTATGTGACACCTTTCCTTCTGACCCCAACTGGAAGTGACCTCTACCTCCTCCCAATGCCTACTCTTAGTGCTTCTTGTCCAAGGGGACCATCTGGCTATTGTCCAGACAATTGTGTCCTGTTTTGCTAATGCCACTGGAAGCCCCTTGAGTACAGCCAACTACTGCCTTCCCTGACCCTGATGTGGGTTCCAAGCAAGGGGTGTGTGTCCTTCCCTCAGCCTTCCTAGCTCACTCACACTGCTAAAACAATAACAAAGATATTCCTTCCCAGCAACCCAGCAGCATACAGGTGATGACAAAGGTGGATTCTTGAACTACCACACAATCGCCTGATTATGAAAGTCGATGAATCCAAAGTGGCAGGAGGGCAGGGTCTAGAACCAGGTGACCTGATCTGGCTCTACTACTCTGTTGCTGCACTTAGAAGAACCACAGAAAACACTTCAATCTCTCCGGGACTCAGTCTTCCTTTGTACAGCAGAAGGGTCTGAATGGTCTTAGACGCTCTTCCCAGGTCTGAAGTCCCAAGACAGTAACAATAATGCCCGAAGTTATACAAGCAGGTATACATTTTTCTAATAACTGTTCTTTTTTGCAGGTACCTGAGATGGAGGAATTATATTTCTTTTAAATTACGACATGTAGCTTCCATATTTCAACCGGAATGTATACTAATAGTGGGGGGAAAATACTTACATGGACCAAGGCAATAATTGGGGTTCACAATGACCACTCCTATACAGATTAACAGGAAACTCCTCCATGCAATTTTCCTCAGCAATCTGAATTTTGAACATCCTCGCTGCAGTATGGCAGTCATTGATAGAAAAATTGAAGACCCCATAATAAAGACAAACCTAGAAAAAAAGACAGCTATTAAGAGGTGGTCATTTCTAGGGTGGGTTTTTTTGTCTATATATCATTAATATTTTATAATCTACTACATAAAAGAAGCAATACATGATTTTTCTAAAGTAGCCAATTATTGAAATAACACTGAAGGAAGAATCAGAACATAACCCTGTTGGACTATAAGGTTTGTGCACCTTCAAGTCATATCCTAGAAGGAAAATTCTTCAGGGCTGACTGCAATTTCCAAGGACAAGTTTTTATTATTAAAGAGAAACAATGATAAAGATGCTAGAATCGAAACAACTGGACATTCAGAAGCATGCCCTCAAACTCCCCAAGAAACAAACAACACATGTCAATCATTTCTAAATTCACTCTATCTCCTGAAAGAAAAACGAAAGCTAGATTACTTTTTCTAATTTTGTCTGAGCCGCATACCTCTTTTCTTCCCTTTTACTATACTAAATTAACTCTTTTTTAAAAAAAAGACAGAATAGCAATCTTTCTGATGATTAAGCATGGGGTTAATAGAGGTGAGAGTTTGCTCTTGCTACATTCCTTGATGTCCTCTGGCTTCCTTTCTTGGGGTCACCTAATTGGATAAAAGTGTCTAGTAACAGGAACGGGAACACATTTCCCATAGGGAACCTCATAAAGAATATACATAAATGGGGAGCCTGGGTGGCTCAATCGGTTAAGCATCTGCCTTCGGCTCGGGTCATGATCCCAGAGTCCTGGGATCAAGCCCCGCATCGGGCTCCCTGCTCAGCAGGGATTCTGCTTCTCCCTCTGCCTTTGCCCCTTGTTCATGCACGCTCTCACTTCCTAATAAATAAAATCTTTTTAAAAAAAGAATGTACATAATTACCAGGTCTTCAGGCATGTAAAACTTCCTCCTACCCAAAAACCATCTCAAACTAGAACCCCAGCTCCCCGACAAGAAACCCTGAGTTCCTATTGGTGATGAAACACAAGGAACTAAAGACATAAACCAATAGCTAGTACTACCTCCTAAAGATGGACAAAGTCACTCAAAGCATCACAGGCAAAGACACAAATCCCACATCGTACAGGAATCAGGGTCCCTTAACAAGGTGAACAAGCCACAGATGATCAGAGACAGAGTGCATCGCTCCTGTATTACTTTAAATTTTAATTTAATACTATCATTGCCCTGTTACATACTTATCAGAATCTCCTGATGCCAATATACTACACTTCTTTTAGGAAATATGATTTTTATGCTTATTTTCAGGATTAGTGCGATTTAACTACATATTCAGAATTTATGGTTTCCTACAAGATCCAGGATCTTGTATAGCATATCTACAATAACAAAATGTTCCCTGTGAAATCACTCATCTTTTATATGCAGGTTTTAGAAAAGCCCTATACCAAGTATAAGAACTACCCAGTAACACAACTTTTGGAAGGACCTGTGAGCAACATAGGCCGCACATAGTTCTGCGGCCCAGAACTCAAGGATGGTTTCAGAGAAAGGCTCCAGCATCAGCTGGACACTTGGATGATCTATGGAAGAGCTGGTGGTAGACTGCAACTCACCATGGGAATACGAGGTCAGCCACTGTCAGTCCTGGAGAATAACACAAGCACAAGAATAAGGAAAAAGACTCTAGAATGTAAATACTTCCTAAATCTAGAATGGCTCCATTATATACTAATATATATGGAAAGTAAACTCACATAGAGAGTTCACAGAAAAACACTGTGAAAACACACAGACGCTCCCTGGGGACTCTGGAACCAGTCACCAGGCCTGAGGTATTTCCTAAGAACATGACTGGGCATGGGAGAGCCAGAGTAGAAGTCTGGACAAGTCTCTTATCTTCAAGCTGTGGTATTCAAAATCCATTCTTAAACCAACTACTGAGCCAGATTCACAGCCGTTACTCAGCACCACTCAGACCAACCTGAGTTCAATGGCACCCTGAGGAGGACCATGAGTCTTAGAAGGCAGAACTCCCATGTGGCTGTAATAAAAGGCATATCTAGAATATGACAAGAATCATTTACAACTAAATTCTTAACGGCTCTGCGGAGTCCCACAGCCCTGCAACAGAGACTTGGGCAACCATGTGTTACCACAGTGAAGCATTACAAGGCTACAGCACACGAAAGCAAGAACTAAACAAAAGGGTTAACAGTATCATCTAAAGGTCATTCTGTGGGGGCAGGAGATCAGCACTCAAAGGACGCTGGTGGGGCCTCGTCTCTGAGCTCCTGAGGGAATGCTGAGAGATGCTCTTGTCCACACTTCTCTGAGGGGTCCTACGTAAGCAATACTACTTTTAGGAAATATCTTACCATTCCAACTTGAGTGTTTGAAGTACCAATATTTTCCTCCTCCATAATTAACGAAGACCATGAGGATGAGAGCTATCCTGTAAAGCAGCAAAAAAGCACACTTTCAGGGCTTGCCCATGTGACAGGGAATGGCCCAACTATAAGAGACACACATACTGACAGGGCAGTCACAACACAGATACACTTAAAGAGCAGGAAACTATTATGTCTAATCACTACAATTAGGGCCCTACACAAAGGCCTTCTGTTACCAACATTTCCAACATGATTTCTTTTTTTTTTTTTAACTAGGCTCCACATGGGGCTCGAACTCACCACCATGAGATCAAGACCTGAGCTGAGATCAAGAGTCAGACATTCAACCGACTGAGCCACCCAGGTGCCCTCCAACATGATTTCTTAAGAGAAATTTACTGACACTGAACTGTGTAACTTGAAAACAAAGCAAAACATTTCCAATCACTCAATTCTGTGCTAATTACTTAGATATTGCAAGTTAAAGAACCGCAGTAGAAGGCATACAGTCATTAGAGCTAAGGGCTCAAATCATGCACCCTCAACTCTTTATTAGGGCAACACTCTCATCAGTTACCTCAGTGTGCTTCTCTGTAAGAGAGGGAACACGCCCACAGGGACCCCCGGGACCAGTGAGGAAAATAATGTATATCATGGCGCCTAACCAGTGCTTGGCACATTTTAGGCACTTAATAAATGTTAGTTCCCATCTATCTGCAAACATCTCATCTCCAAAAGCGGCAATGGGAATAAAAAAAAAAAGAGGAGCAGGGACACCTGGGTGGCTCAGTCGGTTAAACTTCTGACTCCTGGTTTCGGCTCAGGTCATGATCTCAGGGTTGTGGGATCGAGCCCCGCATCAGGCTCCACAGAGGGCGTGGAGCCTAAGATTCTCTCTCACCCTTTGCCCCTCTCCCCATCACTCTCCTAAAAAAAAAGAAAAAGGAATACGATAAAAAAGACTCTGAATATGCTACTATTTGATGCTAATTCTGTAGGATACTGAAGAATGAAGCCTTGAGTGTGTCATTGCGGTTATCTGTGGGGACTCTGGAGCCCAACTCCTGGAGTCAGATCCCAGCCGTCCCACATAGTCCCCGAGTGACCTCGGGCACATTACTTAACTCTGTGGCCCAGTCTCTTCACCTGTACAACAGGCATATTAAAAGTATATGCCTCACAGGATTGTGAAGAGATTGAATAAACTACGACAAGAACAGTGCCTGGCACAGGGTGAGAATTCAAAAATTCTTAGCAATGGTTATCATTATTGCCTGGTTTCCAATATGCACCCCAGGAGCAACTCAGTGTCTGGGAGGCTGGGATAGAATTATAATTATTACTGGAGTTTTAAAGCCCTCCATGAGGGGTGCCTGGGTGGCTCAATCAGTTAAGTGTCTGCCTTCAGCTCAGGTCATGATCCCGGAGTCCTGGGATCAAGCCCCACATGGGATTCCTCACTCAGTGAGGAGTCTGCTTCTCCTACTCTCTCTCCCCCATCTGGTACTCTCTCTCTTTCTCAAATAAATAAATAAATAAATAAACTTAATAAAAAAATAAAAAATAAAAGCCCTCCATGGGCAGAAATGGAAGGCCTAACACCAACATGTTTATTTTCAGCTATATGGTTTTATACTTTATTTTCAGAGTTGGTTCCTGGCCCTCACTCTTCTACCTGAACTCTAAAATAACAACTTGCGGGGCGCCTGGGTGGCTCAGTTGGCTAAGCTTCTGCCTCTGGCTCAGGTCATGATCCCAGGGTCCTGGGATTGAGCCCCACATTAGGCTCCCTGCTCAGCAGGAAGCCTGCTTCTCCCTCTCCCACTCCCCCTGCTTGTGCTTTCTCTCTCACTGTGTCTCTCTCTGTCAAATAAATAAAACAAAATGTTTTAAAAAATAATAATAAAATAAAATAACAACTTGCTGGAGACGCCTGTATGGCTCAGTCATTAAGCATCTGCCTTCGGCTCAGGTCATGATCCCAGGGTCCTGGGATCGAGCCCCGAATCGGGCTCCCTGCTCCACAGGAAGCCTGCTTCTCCCTCTCCCACTCCCCCTGCTTGTGTTCCCTCTCCCGCTGTCTCTCTCTCTATCAAATAAATAAATAGAATCTTTAAAAAAATAAATAAAATAAAATACAACTTGCTGTAGGACTCTGGATTTGCTTCCCAGAGGGCCTGATATTCAAGCTGTTTTGCTAGCAATGGGGAAGGGCCAGGGCTGACGCACGCTGGTATTTCATTTGTCCGATGGGGGAGCCGGTTTGCAGATGGATGGGGAGGCCCCACCCGTGTGCTGCTGCCTGCCCACATGACCTTAATTCGGCAGAATCTACCTATCAGTGGAAACTGGTTCTGGCCTCAACCCTTGATTCCTCTCTAGCAACTTTATATTTGCTATCATGACAGTTTTCAAGTAAAAAGAGCCCACTGATTTATTTTTTACAGCAAGAAGTCCTGCCTATCCTACAAAATAAAAGATATGTAAAATACCAAAAAGTGTGTTTATGTGTAAACATGTAATCCTAGACTACCTGTGCCCACAATGTCCCAAGGGAGCCCCACATACCCCCTGAATGTGTCTACACAGCGGAGGCGCGGCGTTGCAGTGGGCGGACACCATGCTTCCAGTTGAGCATCACCACCGATGGAGCCTGCCCTGCTTGGAGACCCCAGCTCCTTCAGAGAAATGGGGAGAGAAACATGCCAGTTGATAATACTACTGAGTTAATTTCAGTTTTCTGTTTTTTAGGGAAGAAATTAACAGACAGAAGAGCTAAAAATCATTGTCCTGAACAATCTTTTAATTTACTTTTGTAAAGATCCCACCCAGAGGTTTAGTTTTTCATATTTGATTTTTGAGATGTCTGCTGAGCCACGCTGATGAACGACCACAAAGAACTGGTCCATAAGTGCGTCTGGTACAAGAGTATAAGCAAATATGTCCATAAGTGGATATATATATGTCCGTAATGAATTTACTAACAGAAGTAGTATGTTTAATCACCACAGGAGGCCATCGATTTGTAGATTTCATACTGATGGCTCTATTCTTTTGTTTTTATCTTGACACTCTCTACTTAACTGGATCGATTCAACAGTGCTGCCTGCAGAGAGAAAAATGTCTCCACACTGTGCATATAATGCAACCCAAAGTTCCAACCTCACCAGGAAAGAGAAGCGAGACGGTACCCTTCACCAGAGCTGAAGAGAATGCTGCCTGCTCTTTACTAAGGATACAGAACACACGACAGACCTGGCCTTCCACAATATAAATAAGATTAATTAAACCAGATAATAAAGATTATTAAATAGGGAATTACAAATTCCAAATCTAGAAAACCACCCAGAGCACACATGATGCATTCTAATAACTCACAGAATTGATAAGACGATCAGTTTCCCGGGAATTAATTGCTTTAGAAATCCAATTATGAAAGTCATCCAAACTGTAAATAAATAAAAAGTTCAGTTAATTTATTTTCTTTGGCAGAATTTTCAAAACGATTGGATACTGTATTGAAAGAGGATTCATTTGAAGTTCATACTCTATACAAGTCAAAGAATTAAACATTTTAAAGTGTCTTTAAGTGTGGTAGATCTTACTTCATCCACACTCCCACCCCGTCCCCTTGCCTGCCCTTAGATTGACTATTTTAAAGAATCCCAAGCATGATATTATTTAATCCATAAATACTGAAGTTTGTAGCTCTAAAAGATAAACAGCCTCCCTTTTTTTTAACACAACTGCAGTTCCATTATTATATTTTAAAATATTATCAATAATTCCTTAGTATCACCAAATAGCCAGTTCAATCTCTGTCTTGTTTTTTCGCCAGTTTAATTGTTCAAAGCAGTCTCTAAACATCACCCACGTATCTAATGCATATATTCTTATTTCTTCTCTTTATTCCCCACAACTCATTCCTATTTCTACTTTATTCAGCACTGGTAACATCACCATCACATGAAAAATATTAAAATTGAGACATCTAAGGAAGGGCGAAAGGAGAAAGTAAGATATTTAAAAATTGAAATTTTAGAAACGCACCTAATTTTCTTGTACATGCTTGTCCTCCCAGCAAAAGGAGAGAGATCCTGTATTCTTACTACCGCCTCAGATTTTGTTCCAGTTCCAACATACCCGAACATCCCTGGACTTCTGGAGGCATGCTGGAAAGTGCTGGGGCAAGGGACAAGGGCTCCTGCTTTGCCAGCAGAGCATCCCGCCTGCAAGGCTGCAGAGGCAGAACCTCACGCTACAAGGAGTTTC